TAGTCCTATTCCCCCCAAAATTTCTGGAAAGAAAAGTTGTGAAGGAAAAGAAAGTTTATTTGCAAATAACTCAAAAAGTATGCAATTTTTTCTTGATTTTACCCATGATAATTAGAAAGATTAATAAATTACCAGCAAAACAAAAAAAAAATTGTAAAAATCGACTAGAAAGTTTTAAAATTTAAACAATTTGCACAGACCGAAGGAGTAAAGTGTATTGAAATATTTTGTTAAGGAGAAACTGAGTTGAGATTTGTATTTCACAGCTGGAAAGACTCTCGAATACGAATTTTCATTCAATTCAAAACATAATAATAAAAGTGAACCATCATAATGAAGACAAAAACAACACCATAATGAAAAGTGAAGTCATTGTCATGACGACTATCTTAGCACAGCTCTTCTACCCTATATATTATTTCTGAAAGGTGTTTTTTTGTCAGTACGGCATAATTTCATCAATTCTTCATCAAATCCAATGATTGACCGCTCATTTTGAAGATATTCTTCTTCTTCACAAGCAAAAAATATCCTATTTCTCTGAAATTTCTGAAAAAAAAGTTATAAAGAAAAAGAAACTTTCTCTGCGAATAACTCAAAAAGTATGCAATTTTTTCTTGATTGTACTCATGATAATCAGAAAGATTACTAAATTACATGCAAAACAACAAAAAAAAAAAAAAAAATTAGACAGTTATTAACAAAGATACAGTCCATTAGTTTTGGTAAACTTAATAATGTCTTCCTCTTTAAAGATATTGCATTTACTATTCTACTACACTTTTTTTCCTGGCTGATATATTAACTTTATTATTTCTTAAAGGTTTTTGTTTGTTCTTACATTTTATTTTTGTTTATAATTCAGAAAATCCCACGATCAGGGTATTATTTTGTCTTTTTATCTTTCCAGTCAGTGTTTAAAAATAGGTTCTAGCAAAGCAATTTGTACATATATTTTGGTCTATTATGTTAAATGGAATATTGTAATCGACCAAGGAAAAAATATTAATTCCTTCCTTACATAATACATATGATCTAGTGATTTCCTTATTGTTTTGCTATTTCTTCACTAAACAAAATTTTCTGTGAATTATTCGCACGAGCCAACTAGTAGGTATTATTTGGTAAAAAATAACAGCTTACCACATTAAAAACAGCCAGTATCAAGCATATCCATTAATTTAAAAGCATGGAATTAATTAATAGATCACCTGTGCGAATAATTTGCACAGGTAGTATAATGAAAAATACTAAATAAAAGTATATTTAGTTATTTTTCAGCACTACGTTTTTCAAGGGCACTTAATGCAGGGGAGTTGGGCATGGTTGAGACAGTCGTTATATAATCGAAACTATAAGGAATAGCCAATATAACGAGCTAATTAGCTCGTTTTGAAGCTACACAAATTTATGACGTTTCTAACAAATTTCTATATTACATTGCTGTTCATTAATAACCTGCAATATTGTAAAACTATTGACTATACAGTTTATGGGATTCATTTTTTGGGAGTAATTTTTAAGTAAATGTCTGCAAAATACTGGAGGAGCAGAAAATGCCTTGCTCCTACTTCCTCCGGCCAGTGTTTGTATACAAACGATTACGGTTTGCATCATGGATCAACCACTTAATTCGATGAAGTATTAATGAATATCTCATTACCGCATAGCGTGGCGTCTTTTTGAGTATTTCACAGGTTGCGAAGTTGGGGATAGTCCGTGGAAATTCCTCCCTTCTAAGTCCACTGGACTCGCAGACCAACAATGAGAGAGGCCCTTCAGATTTGCTGGAGGGTGTGATGTAGGACAACGCGCTACTCACATATCTATAGTTCAAAAAATACCTGTCATGGATCTTCCTAAGGTAAAACACTCATTATCCGGAAGTAAACTAGTCCCCTCTTCGGGTCTCTGGGTAAGGACTGCTTTCTGTGTGCTCAGTGGAAGACTGATGATCAAGCAAAGAGAAGTAAACAATAAAAATAACAACGTTAATGAAAGCCGGTAAAGAGCTAGGGCTGAAAATAAATAGGAACAAGACAAAATATATAGTTAGTAGCAAAAATGGTGACAATTTTGGTATTATTGACATTGAAGTAAATGAGTTAGAACATGTCGAGAAGTTTATTTAGTTAAGGTTTATAATAACAAGAAAAACAAAATTGAAATGGAAGTGAAAGTTAGATTAAAGGCTGGAAATGCTTGCTATTTTTCAGTTGCAAAACTATTTAGCTCATGGCTGGTGTACTGAAACTTAAAAATTAGAATTTACATATCCATTATTCTTCTTATGTTTCTTTATGGGTGCGCAAATTGGCTGCTTACATTAAGGGATGAGCAACGTCTTGAGGTTTTTGAAAATAAATATTTCGTAGACCGGAGTATTAAAATATTCAAACCGAAGAAGAATGAGTCAACCAGAGAATTTGAGCAGTTACACAACACTGAATTGCACTAACTCTGCCCGGTTAATATAATTGAGATGATAATGTTGAGGCGAATAAAGTGGGCATGTAACATTGATGAATTTAGTAATGAAAGAATTCTTAAAAAGTTGATATGCCCTGTACTGGCTGGTAAGTGTCTGAGGGGTCAACCAAAGCAAAGGTAGTGTAGTAGACATTCTCCAGTATTTACTCCTTTATGTGACATTGTGTGAGGGTATGAGAAGGAATATATAATATATAGGAATGTGAAGTTGCACTGTGAATTGTACTCAATTGTGCAGTGGACAAATTATTCATTGAAAAATCTCATATCGATAAACAATTGATGAAGAAGGAAAAAGGTCCGATCAGATAGCAGCAGCTGGAAGAGGACGCCAGGCACTTGAGGCCTGGACACGACGCCATCTGGGAAAAGAGGCCTACTACATTGAAGACTAAGAATATCAAGCCTACAGTTATACATTAATTTATTAGAGTTGTAAAAAAATTGTTTTATTATACAGGAGTGAAAAGTAATTTTATTTAGTTGTCCTATATGCCTCACAACTGAAGAATAACAAACCAGGTGAGTCAATTCATTCAAAGTGTTTTTAATAAGTTCCACGTTTCATATATATATTGTAATGTCAACATTACATGGCATTTGGATAGTGGTGCAAAGTTGGTGATGGCGCGAACTACAGAGAGGAAGTGGGGGAAGCAAGCCTCATGTAACTCAGACTGCGACGGGCCGCCAGGAGGGAAGGTGCTAGTGGCCAAGAGAGAAGATTATGAGCCGCCAAGAGAAAATGTGACAAGCTGTCAAGAGAGAAGGTACTAGCCAGCAAGTTGAGAAAATAGAAAGAGCCACAAAGTTTAGACTGGGACAATCAAGGTTTTTGAATGTATAATTTCTTAATGTATGTATCGCATTTCTTTATATGTATTTAGTAATTGGTAAATTATAGTTATTTAATGTTGAATGAGTGTTCTGTTGTCAGAACCCAACCTGAGATTTATGTTATATGTGTAAAATAAATAGTATATTCAAAAAGTAAACTCGTTTGTTTTGGTTGACAAAGGGAACGTTACAATATATTCTTATTGTTTCTTCTCTCACTCAGTGACACAAAGGTATTAGATTCCCGAATTCCCAGCGACAGTTAAACACCCTCAAAAAGTCTATATCCAGTGCCGGGGTTTTGTTTCAATAATAAGATTGATTGGTGGTTTCAGCATCAAACCTTAGGCGGAGGGAGGAGGAAGGTTCACTAAGTCTTATTATTATTAATGAAGATATAGTGCACGAATAAAAACAGACCTTTAAGAAATAATATATAAAGATGAGTAGAAATAGTCAATTGAAATATATGTGGGATTTAATATGAAAGTGACTTACACAACATTTTGCATCCAATGGCTCATACTGAGATTTTTTTTTTTTTACTAATAAGTAATAAGTAGTAATTCACTATTGAGTAGGGAAAAAATAACAATTAATTACTGTACATAAAATTTAGGCAAAATTAAAATAATATGTAATATAGTTTCACACTGAGACCGATACATTTAAAATAATGGGAGGCATGTGGTATAATAAAATAATAATAAAGGTGCATAAATCAAAACTTCATTTCAACAGTTGTATTGTTTTTAAAATTTTCAAATGTTTAAACTCGTAATTCTTTCATTTATTTTAACCAACAAAATTTTAATTTTTTTTTTTCACAGCACACAATTATAATAAACATGAATTTTTTTAAGGACTACTTTATAATTTTTTATATACAATAACTCTTTAAGAGAAATGTACACAGAATAATATAATACCAAGTAGTGGAATTTTTAGTTAAATTGTTTTAAATTACACAGTACCTTCATATAAAGCCTCATAAGGAGTACGCAGATACAAGGCTTTCAGTTAAAATTTTATTAAAAAATTATAATATAAAATCATTTATATAAAAATGGATAAAGCACGACATATTCTTACTTCTTAAAAATATACATTTATAAGAAATTTAAGCAGAGGGTAATAATTTACAAACATGCTTTCGATTTCACAAGCTACCAATTACAAATCAGAAAACACTTTGCCATTGCGCAAAGTGTCTAAAGAGGTAAACATGCATAAATTAAGACAAATAAAATTATTGTAATAAAGACATGATAGCTATTTTACTCGAATATAAATAAAATATGAGATCTTAATAGAAAATAAGTTATTGATATTAAATAAAAAATAAACCTCTTTCTCTCTCAAAAAAGGCTAGGTTGTACATGGTTTATAGAAATGCATTAAAACATTCAAAAATAAAAAGAACAAGTTTTCTCAAATTTTACATCAATATCAATATTAAATTCAACATTTTCTTATATATTAATAACCAATACAATTAAAAGACAGAAACTAAATATAAAAAGGTAGCAAGCACATTACGAGTACTAGCAAAATGTAAGGGAAATTCTCAGGATTATGTACAAAATGTAACATGGTCATCTTTACGAGGTATTATGCTACCTTTTTTGGGGCCAGTAAAAGTTCATAACCGAGCGGATGTCGGCAACCAGATGTCATTGCGATTTCATAGAAACCAGTTTTCTACTCCTTGCTCTAGTCTCTTGCCGGGCGTTTGTATATTCAAACCATAGAACATTAGGTATAAGGGTTGTATCTCGTATAAGTAAAATTTCTGATATTCTCCTGTAACAAATCAAATAAAAAAATAAATTAAATGACAAATCAAAACTATCAATTTAATCATTATACACACATAAATACTTATTGAATAAGAGATAAATTGAATAATACTCTAGAACATAAGATTCTTACACTGTGAATTACAGACCTCTGATATCTGAAATATTTTTGACATTAACTTAAGACCCTGTAATATTTTTTATTTATTCAAAGAATTCATTCGAATAATATTCTACAAGGACTTTTAGTATTTCTTGTTATTGTAGTCCATGGTACACAGCCCTTTTTATCAAATTATTAACATCCACTTGAAACTTTGTAATTAGCTTTATCGCATCGTCACAAATATTATATTTGCGAAATTTCTCAAAATTGAGGCTTTTTCAACTTTGTCTATTTAATTAGGTACTAAAAACTCATGAAAACCCATTCGCTGTCCACTTGAATCGCATGACAATAAGATCATAAAGTAAAAAAAAAAAAGGTGGCCTACAAAAATATTGAGCCGTTTGGTGTGACCTCCAACTCCAGCATGTCGAAATAACAAGATTATATAGGCCAAATGGCCCAATATTTTTGTAGGGCATCTTTTTTATTGAGTTTGTGATCAAATTATCTTATGATCCAAGTGGAAAGCAAATGTGTATTTACGAGTTTTCAGTACTTAATTAAATAGAAAAAGTTTGCCGATCTCCAGATTGAAAACACCCCAATTCCAAGAGTTTTCGTAAATATAATAGTTGTAGGTTACGATGAGATGAAACTATTTACGAAGTTTCAGGCGGATGTTAATAATTCCATAAAAAAAAAAAAGGTCTGTACCACGGACTATTAAATCAACTATTCAGAGATGGTTTTTTGATTACTGTTATTTTAATTCAACATTTTAAATGTATTATAATTATAGCTATTTATTATAATAATTTAAAATAAAAAAATTGACTAAAAAACCTACCTACAAATACTTCCATATAATTTTTAACAGGCTATTTCACTGTATATTTACTTTATATTAAAAATATGCACAATGCACAAAACCAGTGAAACATTTTTACCAATATTTATTATAATTTAATCCCAAGAGCTGGAATGGCTTCCTGACCCTCCTCCCCTACCCACACACACAGCTTCAATCAGCAGATGTATCAGAATAAATTATTATTTATCACAGCTGAACTTGAACCCAGACCCTGGATAATAGGAGAACAATGCCTCACCCACAGAGCTACCCTGCTCAACAAAATTCTACATGATCAAGACTTTTTTTAAATTTGTTATTGCTAAACCAGTTATTCTACTGTTTTTGTTTCTATATTATATTTGAATGTAATTTAATTTAATGTACAAAACCACTTATCAAAATAACCAACATTTTTTACCCATATTTTAGATAATGTAGTTCCTATGAAATTATTGAGCTAGAAATTAAGCCCCAAGAATAATGTAGAATGCCTAGGTTAGTAGGAAGGAAATTAAAATTAAAAAAAAAAATCTGGTACATTGTGCGCATCACACAACTTTCACTTACCACTCTCTTCTTAGTGGAAAATTTTCAGAGGAAGGGAAAGTGAAAGTAAAAATTATACGAACGTGAAAGTGAACGTCTTACAAAAGTGAAATTGAATATTTAAGGTTTTTATATGCTAGGGATATTACAGCAACTTTTTCGTCAAAATTGGCTAACTGGAAGTGGCACTTTATATAATGGACTAAACACATTTTTACGATTATCTCGAAAACGGCTCTAACGATTTTGGTTAAACTCACTGTGTCAGTGTATTATTAAATGGTTCTTAATTTAAAGTAGGTTTTATTCTCATTGATGTTCTCTAACAGGGCTTAAATGCCTAATTTTGAATATTAGCTTCCCCTAGCTAAAATTTGATATTATTAACCATTTTACATTGATCTCTAATATAAAAAGTAATTAAATATAAAATATGAAAGAATTTGATAATTAACTTAAGGAGAAATATGAGATAGTATCAGAGAATAGTTGTAATGAAGGAACCAAAGATCCGACAATATTATGTACATATACACATGAGGTTTTCCTAAATGTTTTTGTTGGTACTATATAACGGAATAGAATACAGTGATATAAATATTAAAATTTGTGTATATATATAAGGGTACTTAAACAAATAAAAATATCCAAAATGAAATATAAATCAATATAGCGTTTATAATTTTTACTTTCACTTCCCCTTTGTCTGAAAATACTGATTTCTGATAAGAAGAGGGTTATAAGTGAAAGTTGTATGATGAGTGCACCGCACTAGATTTTTTTGTCAGTTCTTGTAACGGACCAATCTTCTTAAAGAAATAAATAACTTTTTCAAGAAATTATTGTAAATAGTATTCACTGCCCAGGAGGAGGTATTTGAGGTTTCCTGTTAAATCCATGTCAGATTGTGTGTTTCTGCTAAGAAATTACTAATATCTGTTTCAAAGAAATGTTTACCAAATGGGTGGTTCTAATTTTTACTTTCACTTACATATATATGTAATATATAGTAAGGGTATAAGTATTGCAATCGTGAAAAATTTTGAATCTGAGTTTTCAACGGAAATACATGTATTGAGGTACCCTGAGTCCATATGACCAAGTCCCGAAAAATGGTCTGTGTGTGTGTGAACACTAGTTCAAAAACGATAAGTCGTACGAAACTGATATTACGTATTTAAGAAAGGTATATGCCTTAGATGTCCTAGCAACTTTTTCCTTAAAATTGTCTTACCGGAAGTGCCACTTTATATCAAGGCTGAAACACATTTTTACAATTTTCTCAAAAACAGCTCTAACGATTTTGGTATATCATTGTATAATTAAGTGGTCTTTCATATCATTTACGTCTTATCCCCGTTGATGTCACTTTACAGGGCTTAAATGCCCAATGTTCATATGAGTCTTCCTCTAAAGTATCTTTAATATGGTTTATTTTAAATAATTAACTATCTCTCATTATTAAGAGTTATGAAAAATTGATAAATATAACTTTTGAAAGAATTTGATAATTGAATAAAGGAGAAAAAAAAAAAGCTTAATCAGGTCGAAAATGAATATCTGGAACTTTTAAAATATTGTTAAATTTGATAAAAGTATTTAAAATCCACGTAATCAAGGCAATGAAATTCATAGATGTATAAAGCATATGTTTATAACCTTAAATAAATTTACTGTAGTTTAATAATTTTAGATCTGATATTATATTTAAATAATTAGATATCAACGTTTGTTTATTCTGAAATATTGTCGTGTGACTTTTTAGAAAATTAAATTAGTGAATAATTTGATGAATTTTACTTTTGTGATATTCCAACAGTATCCACTTACAATTAGTTTGACAACGTTTCACCTGTCTATGATAGACCATGCAAATTTCTTAATTCCGTTTTAGTAAACTTTGCAATGGAAATTAACAGTTTAATAACTAATAGTTGTACAATTCATAATCAACTGGTGATATAATAAATAGGACTTTTGTTATTTTAAGGTTATTTATGATTTCTTAGCTGTAATTTTTTAGCTTTAGCTCAGTTGAAAATGCAATTCAAAATTTTTTAATAGCCCAACATGGCCAGATAATAATTTCTATTCAAAGTTGAGCGGTAAGTGAAAGTTGTGTGTTGCGCGCACCAGATTTTTGCAGAATGTATTCATGCTGAAATTTGCAGTAAGAAATTCTTCTTATCTCGATTTCTGGCAATATCTTCTGCATTAAGGACTGAGTATATGTCTGGAAAGGCATTCATTTTGAATGTGTAACAGCTCCACAGCCAATATATTAGTTTATCTTCGAACCACCGTTGAGCCAATATATTAGTTTATCTTCGAACCACCGTTGTAAAAAGTTTTGTTGCTCAGAAGAGTTTATTTTCTACAGATGTTTTTTGTATATTTATTTAAAATAGAACAGTATTCTTGGAGCTAATCATAATAGTGCCTATTAGTGCATTCATTTACTAGGGGATCCAGGATTTAAATTTGGGGAGCTTTAGCCCGAAAGAATTAAAATTTGTATACATTCCAATGGTTAAAGAAATAAAAATACCTACAATGAAATATAAATAAATATAGCGTTCTTTAACAGTAAAACTCTTGTCGGACTAAAAATATTTTGTGGCACTTAATTGCTGATTATTATCAAATAAATAATTAAATTATATTATCATTAGAGGAAATAGTTAATGACAGAAAAACATAAATATAATATATAAGATGGCTGTGAAAATGGTAATTAATTATTTTAAATAATATCTTGTATCATCTTCACTTCCCATTGTCTGAAAATATGTATTTCTGCTAAAATAAGGGTGGTAAGTGAAAGTTATGTGAAGCGCGCACCATACCAGATTTTTTTATCATTAGAAATGTCTAAATTGGAAAAGAAGAATAGAAGGAACTAATGAGCCATATAACGATAGAGTTTGCAAACAAAGAACAGACTAATTGAATAATATTTAAAATTTAAAAAGCTAAAGACTAGAGAAAATTTATATCAAGTAGTAGCATTTTAATAGTTATACAAAATAATATAATAGCCAAAACAGTATAAGTCATTTTTAAAGGAAAAAAAAAATTATAAAAATTCTATTATTATGGAAATTCAGATTTTATTTATTTTTAATAAAATTAATATTTTAATAATATAAAAATTTTACTTAGGTAAACATATACACGTATATATATATATTTAAAATAAATACATTAAAAGATTTCAAAATTAGTTTCAAATTAAAAATACACTTCAATCAATTCATGTTATTCAAAACAATTCTCGTCAAACAGTGCTTTTACTTGAGGCTCTCCGCAACACATTGTAATAACTTTGGCAACAATCATGAGACAAGAGGCTTCCGAATTCTTCTATATTTATATCAGTTAACCTAACAGAACAAAATAATTTTGTAATGTTGCTAAAGCTAAATAAAAAATAATTAAAGCTAAATTAAATAAAATACAAGGTTAGACCATTGTGCCCAAAAATAGAACAAGCTTTCGGAAATTATTATCTTTATTTTTCAATGTTTTTCTAAAAGTTAACACTTATTTTAGAATGCTGAATTTAAACTGATTTTTCTTTCTTTCTAAATTTAATAGATTTATGATTTTCTTAAATAAATAAAATATGCCTTTTTAATTTTTCCATTTCTTTTTATAATGAAAGTTTTAATTCGATTACCGCAGCAATTTCTTTTACTTTCACTTACCCATATCAGAAATATTGCCATCATGAAAAATTTCAAATTAAAATTTTTAACGGAAATACATGTTTCAAGATCTCTTGGGTCCAAATAATCAAGTTTTACAAAAAAGTCTGCAACAGCCTAGCTCAAAAACAAGAAGTTTTGATATGAACAAGAAATCATATATTTAAGTCAGGTATACTGCTGGGATACTAAGTCAACCTTTTCGTCAAAATTTAAATGGTACTTTACATCAATTTAACTTATTTTTACAATTTTCTCAAAAATGGCCTTATTAAACTTATCACATTGATGTAAATTTAAATGGTCTTTAATATCATATAAGTTTAATAAATCTAATTGAAAAAAATCTGACAAGGCTTAAACGCTGAATTATCACAATTTTTTCCTCTAAAGTACCATTAATATTGTTTTAAAAGAAATAACTAAAGGCCTTTTATTGTTAATTGTAGTAGACAGCCCCCTTTATGTGACATTGGGTGAGGGAATGAGAAGGAATATATAATATATAGGAATGTGAGGTTGCACTGTGAATTGTACTCAATTGTGCAGTGGACAAATTATTCATGGAAAAGTCTCATATCGATAAACAATCGATGAAGAAGGACGCTGGAAAAAAGAGAGCAGGTAGCTAGCAACAGCTGGAGAGGCACTTGAGACTGAGACACGGAGGCGAGAGGACTTAAGGCTGGGACAGGAAGAAACGAGGTTGTCAGAAGAGAGAGATACTACATTGAAAACTAAGAATATCAAGCCTACAGTTATAAGACTTTAATATATTCATTTATTATCAGTTGTTAAAATAAATTGTTTTGTTAGACAGGAGTGAATAGTCCTTTTATTTAGTTGTCCTATAGGCCTCACAATCGAAGAATAATAAACAAGGCGAGTCAATTCATTTAAAGTGTATTTACTAAGTCCCACATTATATATATATGTTCTTATTGTTTCTTCTCACTCAGTGTCACAAAAGGTATTAGATTCCCGAATTCCCAACGACAGTTAAACACCCTCAAAAAGTCTATATCCAGTGCTGGGGTTTTGTTTTAATAACATTCACGAGTGTAAATAACCTAGTTCCCCGATATAAAAGAGGAATTTGTTTGATAAACCAAAAATCTGGGACAGAGCGAGGCATCACACAACTTTCACTTACCAACCTTAGAGTAGATTAAAACAATTTTCAGTACTTGTGAAAAGTCTGGTCCCAATGGACTGCTATCTGCCAATGTTTATAACCTTAACACTGATAATTCTGATAAGGCACATAGACGCATACAACGCACATACGTACAAATGTAATAATAATGATACATCTTTACATATGTAATAATTATGATAAACCTGTTCGATAGTTTCAGCTGCTCTTTGCCCCACTGTATTGTTGTCAAATTATGAGACCTCCATAAATTAATTTTAAAGCGGTTGAAAAGGTAATCTTCGACCCTTCTACGTGGTTAGGTGAAAATATTTGAGAGCCTCTTTTTCTGAAGACGGCAATACCCACAATGTAATAATATCCATTTCAATGACGCACAAGCAACAGCTTACACTAGACAAAAAGGTGGGTTATGTGATGTAAGATAAGATAAGAAGGGAGGTTTACCAGTGACCAAATCATTCACAAGTACTCAATTTTCTTAAAAGAAGTCGAAGAGAAAATGGTGGTATAACTTCATACAATAAAATTAATTGCCATGTTTTTTCCACCCATCGGAACTGTTAAATTTACACGATTGTATCACTATTCATTTCCTTCAGCTAAAGTATCAAACAATACTAATGATTGTCGGAAAAATTCCGAGCTTTATCAGAAACATTGATCACGAAAATCGTTGAAAAATTAAATTAACGTCAGTAAATATTATACGCTATTAAATTTATATAAGTAGATCCTAAACATTTTGTGTGACGAACCTTTTTAAAAAATTATGGATAAGTGATACACAAAGTTAAACTAACAATATGAAAGCCCTGTACAGAGGGATATTGGGTATCCATAAAGGGAGATGATCGGCAAAGGTCAGGTGCTCTCGGCTAAATAGCCGAACTTATACTGTAGTGTAGATCTTTCTACCTTTATTTCCCCTTTAGTTACCGATAAATTTTCTTCATTCACTATATTTAACTATTTTTTATATATAGCAGCTTCAAATGTGAAAAATCTGCATTTAAACCCTGTCGGGTTGCATTGATGAGAATAAAACCTACCTTAACTTAAAAAGCATTTAATAATACACTGACTTAGTGAGTTTAATCAAAATCGTTAGAGCCGTTTGTGAGAAAATCTTAAAAATGTGTTATTAAATCGATGATATAAAGCACCACTTCCGGTTTGCTAATTTTGATGTGATATCCGAGGCATATACAAACCTTAAAGACGTAATATCAGTTTCATATGACTATTCGTTTTTGAGTTTCTTGATGGCAGCCACTAATGATCATTCTAAACGCAAAAGTCAAACAATGAAGTGTAGCGACTGGAGTGAAGACGATTCTTCTATTTTTAAAGGACAGATTAATTTTAATCACATAAGAACTTCCAGGCATTAATAATAAACATTATTACTGAACATTATATATTAACAGTAAAAAAAGTTGAGTCAGCAACTTTATTTTTTAAATTTTATTAACATTTTTCCATTTTACTTTAAAAAAGGTGAGACAAAAAATTATGGATTCATTCTTAAATAAGAAAATAGTCAAAAAAGTTAAATTGGCACGTTTATTTTTTTAATTCTACTAAAACCTAATCGATAATGGTTTATCTGTTTTTTTTTTAAAAGCAAAATGGAAATATATTCAAAGACTAAAAATATTTTATAAAAATGAGGAAACTTTAAGCATGTATGATAAATTCATTCCTTTCAGCGACTCACAACAAAAGATTTCATGACAATTTACAAGGACATGAGAATCATCTGATAGTAAAAATACCAGAGACCTTCTGTAGATTTATTTTATTTTTTGGTCTAAGATAACGATATGGAAGAAAAAAAGCTTGGTATTTTTCTTCCTCCATGCCTAACATGCCATTATTATTTTATTTCTAATCTCAACATAAAGTTTAGTAAAACTTAATGATGTATAAAGTTTTAAAAAATCATTAATTCTTTTATAATTAATATTAAAATTTTTTAACATTAATAGTAAATAATTTAACAATATTGTTTTATTATGCCAATATTTTTGTATAATATTATAAACAACGAACATTGTAACTTTTAATGGTAATGTATTTATTGACCTATAATTTTCATTATTATTATAGCACATACTGAAAATTGTATAAACCATTATTTCACATCAATTTTTCACTTTGATGGTGGGTTGGATTAATTGGATTTGATTGGGTCAAGAACTTTATTTGAAATTAATACATAATATTACACTCACAGTTATTCTGTATATTCCATTAGGCATGGAGCATTTGGAGAGAGCAGCAATTTTGTGTGGCGACTTATGGATTATTTTAATTTCTTAAATAAAAAATAATCCTAATAAAAGTGGGAATTCTAGTTATATCTAATTCGCCTATAAAGGCGAATTATTGATATACATATAAACCATCTATACTTACATCAAACTTTTTTGCTGTAATATATTTGTAAGTATAATACATCAATAAAAGAGGTAGGGAAAATTTTATATAACATAACAATCACTTTCAAGCTATTCTTCTATAAATATTGCATACCGAAAGAAATGGTACTTCAAAACACAAAGTTAAAAGCCAAAAAAAAATATGCATCATATAACAGCTTTAAAAGACTTTATTATATAAATGCAAAGAAAATATCGGTGACCAAAAAAACTTTGTTTTGGTAGTTGGAGTCAAATATTTCCTTAAATTTCTTAACAACAGCAATTATCAATGAAATAATTGACTTCATAATGATATCGAAGGTAAATGGATAGAAACATAAAAGATCTTTACAATAATAATCAAAATAGATATTTTTTTAAAACTCACCAAGATACAATTATTGGAAAGTATGGCGTAAGGACTACATGCGTAAGTCCGAACCAAAATGAACCAAACATAATTCCAACAATAGTTCCACAGATAACTTGCTTCCATGTGTGGTACTGCAAGTAGATCCTGAAATGTTTATTATTGAAAATAAAAAAACAATTTTTGAAGTTTTAACAAGCGATATTCAGATTAGAAAAATAAAATAAAACAATTACCTGCTGATACTAACAACCACAGCAAAAGAAACACAACTCAACACAATAACAGTTTTCCAAACCGTTTCTAATGTTGAATTATTGTTCATATGATGTAACCTTGAAAGAAAATAATTTTAAATTATGATTGTGACAAAAGTAAAAAAATATTTACAATATAAAATTTTTAGGTACTCAAAACATATTTAGTTGTTCAATTTTAAGGAACATAAATGTTATTTATGAACCTTTGTATAAAATTTAATAATTTCAATTATGTTTACATATTATTTAAATCATTGCTTACTCCTTAAAGCATTGAAAATTTATTAAATGGTTTATTGTAAACAAAAACTACAGAAAATTTCACTGAGGCCTACTAAAGAAGCTTGTAAAACCTCTAGATAACTACATAAGATAAATAGGAGTAACGACAAAGGTGTTTCGTTAGAATAATGTTCAAAATAGACATGTTTTACAAAGGAATTCATAAAAAAGAAAAATTAAATAAAAACATTAATTTCATACCTAGACTAGAGATTGGCGAACTGTAGTTAACGAACCACAGATGATTCTTAATTTTTAATTTTTTTTCATACACTTTACCGACAATAGAAATTCAAACAATGGGAAGAATAATCAGTTAGTATGCTTTTTGCTTCTTTATCATTAAAATGTATACTTAATATTTTTAGATGGGTTAAGTTGAACAATTGTATTTTTGGTTACAAAATTCTTGGTAATATGAATACAAAATTATTGATGAAACTTTTGTTGTAAAAAAAGTCATAACTATGCATAAGTAATATTAAATATAAATAAAATAAGTTATAAAAATCAACAATAATTATAAAAAATTATACATTAACATGTAAAGGATTCTGATAATGTTATTATCAGATAATATAGTTATGCAATCCTGATTATCTATGCACTATAATTTTACTAAAGAAAACTTAAGTAATAGTAATGTAGAATAAACAGAAACCTATAAAAATTACATGTGTATTTGACTGGTGGGTAAAGATCAGGTTGATAACACTTTAAACAGTATCCTGAAACTGGCAGATTATATATAAAAGTATAGAAAGATGATTAATCGTAATGCATTCCTTAGAAATAAATTACGGATGATATTTTAGAGAAAATTGAAAAGCATTATTCTTCAATTACGAGGATCTCTGCTTCGTGAACTTTCAGAATTTCATCTTTACTCACCTGTCAACCAGAGTAACCAGGTAAACTAATACCAATTTTCTTTTAAGATCACACTGTTAACGGAATTATGAGTGAGTCGAAAAGTAGGAGACAAATCGTCTGACCTCAACTTAAAAGGACCAATTGGGAGTTTGTTAACCTCTTATGAGTGAGCATGAGCCAAAAACAGAGACGTAATTCAAATTAATTAAGACACTGATTATAACTTCAAAAAATGGTGACCTAAGTAAAGGGGGGTTACACTTATTAACAGGTTAATAATAGACTATTCTGAGAATTCCATTTAAAGTGTTATCATGCCAACTCATCAGAGTGGAACATTTATAGAGAAGTACCCTCTTTTATTTAAAACCAAAACAAAATGGATTACAATATAAATTATTGATTAAACAGACAAAAAATTATCTCATACCTGATACAGACGAAACAAATTATATACGTAGCAAAGAACCATGAAAACTGAGAATGCCCCGAAGGCATGCCATATTCAGTATAATTAACTCTTTGCATTGGCCTTCCCTCGGACAGAATGTTTTTTAAAATTAAATTAAGCATTTCATTGCATACTGTGCCGATGAAGAATACTATCTGAAAATATATCCATAAAATAATGACCAAATATTAAGGAATTAAGACGTATATATACATAACGAAGTATAAAGTACTCACTGTATGAACATCTCTTCTGAACAGAATTAGAGCAATGAAGCCAGATATTATACCAAATGGAGATAAACTAATTAAAGCCAGGAATTTTCCAAGATAATCACCTAAAATGTAATAATGTTAGAATATATTGACTGAAAAACTTTATAATCGAGTTGATACTTATCATTTATAGTTTAAAAAAAAATTGATTATGATAGAAGAGTGAAGAGAAAGTTAATAAAAACATTTGAAAATTTGAAAACAAAGTGTAAACTAACCTGCATGCAGGTCTTTCGTACAAACAATATACTAGACATTTCTTATGAATGAAAATATTAATTACCTTTGGGATATTCGACATGTGTCAAACTCAGAGGGACCCAATTGAAATCATGCACATTATCCTTCAGATGAAGTTCGTCTTCATCGGGAGAGGTCATTTTTTAAAACACTTCTTTCAGGAAACCTCTCACAGGTGCATTGCTTCTAGTCCAATATGACCGCTACCGGTACCAAAACTCCAGCTCTCACTTATAAAATTATTGCAGAATGCAAAGAATCAAAAGCAAGAACGAGTCTGATGACCTTACCACACTGTGCCGTAGAAACTCCTGTTTTCATGCCAGTAGGCACGAAGGTAACCTCTCTACTATTGACACTGTAGAAATAATCATGTGATTCTTTTCGTCCTGGTTCGTTTAAATTTTTGCTTATAAACCGTTATAACGACAGTTGTGTTGTCAGCAGAATGCTTTAATATTTTAACAGCCGACGAGTTTTAAATAGCTGTTTCAACGGAAAAAAAATAAAAACGAAACAAAACAATAGAAGAGAACAACAATATTTTCATTTGAAAAGAGCCTAAAATAAAATTAGTCTCTTGATGAATATAATTATTTACATAAATATAATGGAAAAGGATGTTGAAAATTTTATCTGAAGTAGCTCTGAAGAGATTTTATCTTGTTAGTCTTTCATAAATGTACTTCTCATAGTTATTTATACCATGAGCTTATCTTAAATCTAACAAAAAACAATCTTGGAAATCATTTCTTAAACCTAATTTTAAATTTCTTATTTAACATTATTTATATTCTGCATATTTACAAATACAATAGTAGATATTGTGAAAATTTCCCAAGATTTTTTAAGTAAAAAACAGTAAATGTGGTTATTTTACATTTATAATATATTTTGAACGAATTGCCTAACTATTTTCTTTTCTTTGATTGAGGAGTGAATAGGAATAATAATTTTTTTATTTTTGTAATGATGGAATGAATTATTTTTATTAAAAAGTTCTAGCTCCAAAACCACTAAAAACAGTCATTTCGAAACCGATTAAGAATAAAACTTAAATTTCAATTTCAAACCCTGGATAAAAATCATTGAAAATACAAGTGGATATTTAATTTCATTTTATGGACTATTCTTCTTTTTTTTATATAATGAAGATTCAAAAAATGTCTTTTAATTAAGGAAAATGTTCTTCAAGATCAATCCTTGGTCTCTTTATTGTATTTGTTTGAGAATTTGAAAATAATATAATAATAACAAAATCCAATCATTATCTTCTCTTTGTATTTCTTCCCTTCCAAATTATATACAATTTGATTTTTTTTTTACTATAGACCAACAAATTAATTGTTGAAGAAGATTAATCAATGCCTACATATAAAAAAAAAAATTGCCGAGTAATTTATAGGAAACTTAAATTTAGCAAGTATTTTTCTTAAAATTGTGAATTATTGATCTGCTTTTCAGTATAATTCCGGAGCAATATTTGATTTTGTTATTAATTTTGTAATAATATATTACTCATCATAAAAAAAAGTTGCATTTAAGCACAGCTTTGCGATTCGGAAATATATTGTTTTACTTTCATTTTATGGACTATTCTTCTTTGTTTTTATAAAATGAAGATTCAAAAAATGTCTTTTATTTAAGGAAAATGTACTTCAAGATCAATCCTTGGTCTCTTTATTCTATTTGTTTTAGAATTTGAAAATAATATAATGATAACAAAATCCAATCATTGTCTTCTCTTTGTATTTCTACTCTTCCAAATTATATACAGTTTGATTTTTTCTTTTTTACTATAGACCAACAAATTGATCATTGAAGGAGATTAATCAATGCCTATGCTTAAAAATAAAAAAAATGTTTGCTAAGTAATTTCTAGGAAACTTAAGTTTAACAAGTATTTTTCTTAAAATTATTTCTGTTTTTCAGTATAATTCCAGAACAATATTTGATTTTGTTATTAATTTTGTAATATATTACTCATCATAAAAAAATCAAATCAGAAAAAGTTGCATTTAAGCACAGCTTTGCGATTCGGAAATATATTGTTTTACTTTCATTTTATGGACTATTCTTCTTTGTTTTTATAAAATGAAGATTCAAAAAATGTCTTTTAATTAAGGAAAATGTTCTTCAAGATCAATCCTTGGTCTCTTTATTGTATTTGTTTTAGCATTAGAAAATAGTATAATAATAACAAAATCCAATCATTATCTTCTCTTTGTATTTCTATCCTTCCAAATTATATACAATTTGATTTTTTTTTTTTACTATAGACTAACAAATTGATCGTTGAAGGAGATTAATCAATGCCTATACATAAAAAAAAAATGTTAAGTAATTTATAGGAAGCTTAAGTTTAACAAGTATTTTTTCCTAAAGTTATTTATCTGTTTTTCAGGGTAATTCAAGAACAATATTTGGTTTTGTTATTAATTTTGTAATAATATATTACTCTTCATAAAAAAATTAAATAAAAAAAAGTTGCATTTAAGCACAGCTTTGCGATTCGGAAATATATTGTTTCCTTTCATTTTATGGACTATTCTTCCTTTTGTTTATAAAATGAAGATTCAAAAAATGTCTTTTATTTAAGGAAAATCTTCAAGATCAATCCTTGGTCTCTTTATTGTATTTGTTTTAGAATTTGAAAATAATATAATAATAATTAAATGCAGTAAGAAATTTCTTTTTCTTTTCATTGAATTCTTACCTACTGCTGTTGCAGTGCGCAGGTGCTGTTACAGAGTCTAGACCATATGTCCTCTCCTATCACTTTCTTCTCAAATCTGTTCCTCTAGTAATAAAGGCTTTTTTGAAGCTTTCCTGTCCATCTTCTTTGCCTTCCTCTAAGTCTAAGCCTAAGGTAGATGTACCTGGGTCTCATATGTTTGACTATCTTACTTTCATCAATCCTATAAGGCCTTACCAAAGCAGTTTATTCTCTTCAATGAAAGCTTGCAAAGGCCGCAGTGGACAAATTTTGCTTGGTTTAACATTCTCAATTCAAACATCTTGGCCCCAGTTTGAATCTGGCCTGGACGCGTTTAAATTTACTTCTATGGGTAGCTAACCCATGAAATGAATCTCGACCATCGCATTCTGGTTAGAATAGGTTTGATGGTACCTCTAGAAACATTTCCTTTTTATTTTCTTTACAAATAGATGCAAAATTTTAGAAATATAAAGCAAAACTAATTAAATTCTTGATCTGAATCTTGATATATTGTCATACATAACATAACTTGTTAATTTTATCTTTTATTGTACATCAACTAATATTTTTGTTATTAAATATTTTACAACAGGGCTCTTTGAAAGGGCTTTTACCAGACCAATTGGAGGCCATGGATTGTCGAATATTGCTTGGAAATACTTATCATTTGGGCACTAACCCGGTTTGTACATAAGTTATAACATTTATTTTTAAAATAGTGAAATATATATATACATTTTTTTTTATTTATTATAAAAATATTGGAATTTCTAGGGCCCCGAATTATTAAAGAAAGCAGGAGGTCTTCATAAATTTATGGGCTGGGATCGAGCTATATTGACTGATTCTGGTGGTTTTCAAATGGTATCTCTTTTAAGTTTAGCGGAGATCAAAGAAGAAGGTGTACAATTTAAATCACCGTATGATGGTAATACTCATAAAATGAATTAATAAAATATAATGTAATATACAACTTATTAAAGCATTCATTTTACAGGTGAAGAGAAGGATGGTTGGGATGATCAATCAAAAATAAAAATGGCAAAAATAAATAATAATATCTATTTTAACATTTGACAAATGTTAAAATAAATATTATTATTTATTTTTGCAATTTTAATTTTTGACTGATCGCCCCAACCACCCATCTCTTCATTATTAACGGCAGTCAACCATCAACCCATAATCATTCATTTTACAGACTCCTCATGTTTACTAAGCCCTGAAAATTCTATTCAAATACAAAATTCCATTGGCGCTGATATAATCATGCAGCTTGATGATGTTGTAAGTTCACTTACAACAGGTCCAAGAGTTGAAGAAGCTATGGAAAGGTAAATTAGAAATTTTATTATCACAAATCTAAATTATGGGTAATTTAAATTACATGGCAAATTATTATATGATACTTTCTGAAGGTTTCATCTTGTAATTTTGCCCTTTATTACATGAAATTGACTACAACTTTTTCATTTGGAAAGAAATTAATTTCAAGACTTATTATTGATTAAAATTTTTGCCTTGAAAATGTCATTTCTTTAATTGTCCTGAGTGTCATATGATTAATTTCATTTTTAAAAATATAAATTTATATAAATAAAAATGTAAATGTTTGTTGTTAAAAACCGCTAATCTCCGAAACCTCTTCACCGATTGCTTTGAAATTTTGACATAATGTTTCTATCGAATTCAGGAGTGTTTTTATATACATTTAATTACTCTCGGGTCGTTTAGGAAAGGTGGTTGAAAAATATGTCGCTTTAGACTAGCGTCTAAACAGCTGTAACGATTTTAATTAAACTTGGATAAAGTTTTCTCCTTGAAGCTCTTTTAATTTATGTGTATAACATCCTTCCCCGAAAAGAGTATGAAAAAAAGTTACGATGGATTCAGAACTATATTTGCGAATAACTCAAAAAGTACAAAATTTTTTATTATACCCATGCTTATTTGAAAGCTTCCTGAATCCCCTGCAAATTAAAAAAACCCACTAAAATTGGATAATTTGGAGCAGGGATATAATGTTTTAAATATTCAGTACTTTTTCTTCGGAGATTTAGAAACTGATTGCTTCTCAAATCAATTATATGTTGTGTATATTAGAGTTGGAAAACCAGGCAATCTCTATATCTTTACAAAGAATGGACCAACAAAAAATATTACATATCCACAAGTATTGGGAAATAAAATATATTAGAAACATCTGCTTTCTTTTTTACTTTTTTTCTATTCAACCAGACTGAGCCACAACAACGCATGGCCAGGTACAGCTAGTGAATAAATAATAATTTATTGTTAAATCAATAAAGAGCCAATCATTTACTTTCCCTGGAAGATGATCTATTATTTAACAGTTTTCATTTACCTACTTCGTACTCTTTGGTTTGTTTTTATCTACTGACTGAAGAGTGAAAAAGGAATTTTCCTTGTTTATGTAATCATTACTTTATAATAAATGAAAACTAGAAGAGAATAAATTAAAAATTGAAATTTTGAGAAAACGAGTGAAATCTCAAAAAATTGTCAACAATTAAATCTCTTTCCTGCATTGAAAGTCACAAGTGGCAAAATAGATCATTATATTTATTAATTTATATTGGTCATTACTGTATCAATTAAATGTAATTACATGCTTTAAGTTATTTGTTTTGAGTATTATGTAGTGAAAGCTGTTATCAAGCTTTGTGTTTCTTCACAGTTTACAAATAAATATGGTACTTTAATTTATAAAATGTTAATACTATAACTTAAATCTAATTTTGGTTTTTAATTTAATTACTCAAAATGGTATATAATATTAGTTACCAAATAAGGTAATATCTATTATTAATTAAATTTAACGGTCTGTGTTTTTATGTATACATCAGAGAACTATTATTTTTGCTTTTTAATTCTTAGGACAATCAGATGGTTGGATCGATGTATTAATGCCCATGAACGGGATGACGATCAAAATATATTTCCCATTGTTCAAGGAGGATTAGATGATGATCTTAGGAAAAGGTGTGTTGCCGAGTTAGTAAAAAGAAATGTGAGAGGTTTTGCAGTTGGCGGTATAAGGTAATTCAGTTTTATAATCTGGTCCATCTATAATATTTTTTCTTATTAAATATTATTATAATTAACTTTTAAATTTTTCTTGTTATTGTTTTATTGTATCTATTTTTGTTGCTGTTAATTCTATATAGTGGTGGTGAAGCCAAAGATGACTTCTGGAGAGTAGTTAAGTTATGCTCGGATTTACTACCTAAAGACAAACCGCGTTATTGTATGGGAGTCGGATTTGCTGCAGATCTTGTTGTTTGTGTGGCTCTTGGTATTGATATGTTCGACTGCGTTTTCCCTACAAGAACAGCTGTAAGATATTTATTAATCATTGGCTTAAAATGTTTGTTGTTGTTATATTGATTGTTAATTTTTATATCTGACATTAATTGAATACTTTCAGAGATTCGGATGCGGTCTAGTAGAAACAGGACAGATTAATTTGAAACATAGGAAATTTGCCAAAGATTTGAGGCCAGTTCAAGAAGGCTGTGAATGTTCAACATGTAGGACGTATACACGGGCATATATCCATTCAATTGTTACCGTAGAAACAGTTGCTTGCAATTTATTGTCTGTGCACAATGTTTATTACCAGGTAATATTTATTTTAGTGAATAATTAGAGACTGGATCCTGGTGTGGTTGCTTTTTTTTTGTTAGCTTCAAATTCAATCAAACCAGAACAGAAATTTGAATCATCAAAAGGGCTTTATATTAACACTAATTTTATTTTGCACAAAATCTTATTTATTTCTTTTTCATTTCATCGATTCAAACATAAAATTACAGTTTTATTTATAAATTTATCTGTTATTTATTTAATGAAAATGAATGAATTATATCACAAAACTAACAATTAATATTCAGTTAAATGATTTGTCATACAAGCTCAATTATATCTATCTTATTCCTTTGTTCTAGTTTGGTTCATTGCTTGCCATACTTTTTTGGCCACGTTTTTAATAAAAGTGAATTAACAGTTATTATGTTACATTTTAGTACAATTTCAAATGAACCAATCCATATTATTAAAGAAGTAGAAAAATTAAAAAAAATAATTAACAAGAAAGGGAAATTCAATTTTGGAAAATTTAAAGCAGTAAAAAAAAAAGTATAAAAATTTATTAAAATACCATCATGTTTTAAATGGAGGAAATTTTGATGTTACAATTTTAGATTCGATGATAAGGGATATAACTTGAGAGAAAAACATTTAAAACTACATGATAAGGAACTTTAATGATAATAACTTATTAGATGGTCTATAATCTTATGTAAAATAAAATAGTTATATGTAGTGATTTTTTTATTCAGTTTGCTAATAAAAATTATTAAGTTAAACAATTTTTTTTTACTTCATTTTTTGAAGTTTTATTGCATGAAAACCCGGTATTTAATAATTATTCGGTATAGATTTTTTTGTGAGTTATAAAATATTTTAGCTCATACTTTATTTGTTTTTTTCTTCTATATTTTAGTTGAAACTAATGAAGGACATTAGAGAGAGTATTAAGGAAGAGAGATTTCCAGAATTTGTCCAACTATTTATGAAAAAGATGTTTGAAGATCGAGAAGTTCCAAAATGGATCAAGGATGCTTTAGCTGCAGTTAACATCAAACTTCCTTAGGTTATTTGTTTTTCGATGTTAATGATTCTACTTAAATGAAACTTGGAAATTCCCAAATTGGGAATTGACCATTTAATTTTAAATTGTATACAATGTAAATATAATACATTATTTTGAGTAGTGTGACTATTTAAATTAAGGCTATTTCTCTCTCCCTACTGCTAAATTAGTGATATTTATTTTCTGTATTATAATTTATGGTACATTATTTTTACTTTCTTTATTTTTATTTTTATTATATGTAATATATAGTAAGGGAAAGTATTGCGATCGTGAACATTTTTGAATTTGAGTTTTAAAGGGAAATACACGTTTGAGTCCAAATAACAAAGTCCCGTAAAATGGTGTGTGTATGAACAGCCTAGCTCAAAAATGAAAAGCTATACGAAACTGATATTTCGTATTTAAGATAGGTATATACCTTAGGATGTGAGAGCAACTTTTTTTGTCAAAATTGACTTACCAGAAGTTCCACTTTATATTATTGATTTTACACATTTTTATGATTTTCTCAAAAATGGATCTAACGATTTTCATTAAATACATTATATTGGTGTAAAATTAAGCACTTTTTAATATAATATAGGTCTTACTCTCATTGATGTTCTCTAACAGGGTTTAAACGCATAATTTTCAAATTTTTTCCTCTAAATAAAGTACTTTTAGTTTTTTTTATTTGAAACTATTAACCATTTCACATTATAAAAACTATTAAAAATGGTTAAATATAAAATATGAACGTATTTTAAGGAATAAATAATTATAATAATAAGGAACGAGGGATCATAAAAGAGAACCGAATTGAAGCGGACCCGAGCTTGGCCTTATTAAGGAAGAAAAGGTTTTCATACGTAACTCATACTGAATAAAATACAGGCTCCGATAAAATTATAATTACCTATACATGTATGCTTTTCTTAAATGCTAGCATTTGTATTATTTCGTATTTAATTTTATAGATTACAGAAATACAAGAAATTAAAATGTATATACACCAAAGCCTTATTTATTAGTGGTAATCTTGTTGGACTGAAAATATTTCTTGGCCCTTAATTATTTATTATAATTAAATACATGATTAGTGTGTAAAATAAATGGTTAGTGTCAAAAGAAAGCATAAATATAACAGTAAACACCTATGAAAAAGATTTGGTAATTAATTGTTTTAAATAATATTTTGTACTGTCTGTGATTTTTACTTCTGATTCTCTTCGCCTGAAAATACCTATTTCTGTTTAAAAGAAAGGGTGATAAGTGAAAGTTTTGTGATGTGTGCAGTGCACCATATTTTTTTAAATATACTCTCAAATTGTTAAATTATCTAATTTTTATTATTCCTAATGATACATTCAAATTCATTAGTTATTTTTATTACATAATTTATTGAAAAAAATAACTCATGATTTTTTCATATATCAAAAATGAACTTATTAATTCATAAAAAAAAAAAAAATGTATGTTCCTATAAATATAAGTAGTAATGAATCATTTTAAAAGCTCATAGTCAGTGTACAGACCCCTTTTTTTTCAAATTATTAACATTCGCCTGAAACTTTGTAAATAATTTCATCTCATCGGAAACTACAACTATTTTATTTATGAAAACTCTTGGAATTGGGCCGTTTTCAATCTGGAGAGTGGCAAACTTTGTCTATTTAATTAGGTACTAAAAACTCGTAAATACCCATTTTTTTTCTACCTCGTAAGATAATTTGATCACAAAATCGAGGAAAAATGTGGCCTTCAAAAATATTGAGCCCTTTGGCGTGACCTACACACTTAAATTTTCAAAATAACGAGGTTATATTGGACAAACAGCCTTTTAATAATTCAATAAAAAGGGGTCTGTACCACAGACTATCAGTGGAAATTAAAAAAGTAAAGAATTACATTTATCATTAGTCGACTTATCGCCACACTGAATTAAGTATATCATTCTTTAACTCTCGAGTTTTAAGTTTGAGAATCACCTAATTTTACTAATAGCTTGAGAGCTCAAGAGTTAAAAAAATGTTTGACTGAAAGCAACGTGAGGATAAGTTGACTTAACTAGTTATTGCCAAAGACTAGAGTTATATAGTCTGTAGAAATTAAAAGTATCTAGGAAACAAGTATTTTAATTATTATTTTAAAATACTATATTTAGAATAACGAATGTTTGTTGATTTTTAGTATCAAGTATTTAAAATGTTTACAGAAAAACTGCTTCAAATACAAATTCTTATATGAATTCCATCTTTAATATAAAAATTACTTCTATTATTATATTCTATAATGTAGGTCATAACTAAAATAAATTTACTAATTTGATGATTTATTTTGTGTATTTGAAATAATTTTTTTTGTATTTTAGAAAGGAAATACAAATACTTTTTTTTCCTGTATTTTCAATAGAAGCAACATGTACTTTTTTATAAGCAAAATGTATTTTACTTCTTAAAAAGTACAATAAAAAAATATATATATTTGATTTTGTATTTTAAGTTATTACCTAGATTTGATAGTTAGAATTAGTTAGATTTATTAAAATTGGAATTAAAATCTTTTGGATTATTTTTCCAGTTGTTAATGTATATGTAAATAAAAAAAATTGTTTTTTAATATCAGCCTTTGGATTATCAATTCATTTTATGACATTTATTGATAAATGCATTTTATCATTATTAATAGGTGTCCCTTAAGAAGAGGAAAATTTGAGTGATAGCAGAACTCAAGAGCTACAAAAAAGTTCGAATAAACAATGGGCCAATTTTCAGAAGGAAAATTGAAAATCCAAGTTTTATGTTTTTTCTCGAATAGGAAGTGATAATTAAATAAATATTTAATTTAAATAATTAACTGTTTGCTTCATAAAATTGACTTTAAAAAATACAGTACGACACTGTTAAAACTATTTAAAGAAGACTTTTAGGCGGCTAAACTAGGCTTTAGTTTAATTTCACAAAAAATTATGTGATTTTTTATTCTTTCAATTAAAAGTACCCATGTTTTCAACAAAAATGACCAAAATTAATTGTTGCAGAGCTTTTATTTCTTGTTTTTCAATAATGTGGGATATATTATAATAAAAACAATTGCATATATACACTTTTAATTTTTAAAAAAGATAAATTTGAAAAATACTGAATTTTCAAATTATGGTTCGTGTGAATTTGTAATGAAACTGTGTTTTTCACCAGGATATGTATGATAGGAATTGATCCATTTTTATAAATGATAAAATAAGTGTTTGTAGTCCTAAAATTGACATTTAGAAAAAAAGAAACATCCTGATTGATTCCATTAAAATGTTAACAATATATTAGGATGAGAAATGTTTAATGTGTCACTTATAAATATGGATTAATTTCTATGACAGAGATCATGGAGAAAAACATTGTTTCAAAACCACTTTACGTGAAAAATATTAAAAAAATTATTATTTTTAACATTTTTTTACCCACTTACAGAGGCTGGACTGGGTGTGCCCCAGGGTCTCCTGATCTCAGGATCTATCCACGGCTGATGTAACAGAATAAATAATTACTTGCCACAGCTTGACTTGAACACGGGACCTTGAGCTTTGGAAGTCAGCACCTCACTAACTGAGCTACCTAAATTCCATTCCAACAATGGATCAAGTAATATTTCATTAAACCAGGCAAATTTATTTTGCAAAAGATTTCATTTGATCTAATTGGAAATAAATTGCATTGCATCAATATATTTCCAACTGAAAACGATTACAATAAAAAAATACAATTATTAGTGAGAATGACTTGTTTTATTTTGTCCTTGAGGAAATTCAATTTTTGTTGACAAATTAATAATACGAAGTGCTATGTGTATTTGATTTACTGGTTAACTTTTTTCTAAATTTTTGTAAGATCAGTGAGAAGTGGGGATGATGAAAAAAAAAATCATAATATTTTTTAAGAAAATAATTTTTTATGAGTCACATAAAATCATCAGAATCATTGCCATCGTTACTTTTATTTGATTTCATATTTTCTGGTTTCATCAGGGTGCTGTAACTCCTGCAACATTAAAATAAAATAAAAAAATTAAACAATTTTTCTGTTGTTTTTTTTAAATAAATTATTTTGTACCTTAAAAATATTTTATTAACAACTATAAGCATCTTATGTAATCAATGGACTATAAATAGCAAACTAAATGTAAACAATTTAAATGAAAACATCTTAGTATGCAAGCACATAACAATAATTTTTTTTTCTTAAATAACTATAAACTTATGCATTAGTTCATGCAATTGAAATCAAAATAAATAAATAAATTACATTAAAAACTTTAAGATGGTATATTTGACAAGTTATTCTTTATGCTTCTAAATGACAAATTTAGAAAAACTTTTCAATTATTCAATTAAAAAAAGTTGATATACATAAGAGGTGGATTATAACCCTATCACATCATATATTAAATTTAAAGCTTTGCAAGGTCATTATAACAATATCCACTGTAAATTAATTTTTTATTTGAAAATTTTTTCATGAAATAAAAAAATTCCCTGACTTTATTCATTTTTATAGGTCAGTTGCCAATCTGAATTAAAAATGTTTTAAAGGTAATATAAAATTCTAAATTCATTTACATCTATAGCAGTTGGTAAAAAATTAAGAGTCGTTAGAAAGAGGGAATTAAAAACCACTTTTATGGACTGCGAAAATCGAAGTAAGTTAAATTTAGAATTTAAAAAATAAACGATAGGTTACTATATTACCTTAATTCAGCTTCTTCTAGCTTTCTCCGCTCTTCTTCTTTTTGTTTTTCCTTAAGTTCCCTTTGTAATCGTTTTTTATCTTCCCTTTCTCGGGCATCACGCGCTTCTCTTTCGGCTCTTAAATCAGGATGTTCTTCTTTCTTAGTTTTATTCAGTCTATTGACAATTTCATTGACTCTTTTGGCTACCCTGATCTTTCGAACCTACAAAGTGAAAATTATAATTCATGTTAAATTTTTCATTACTATTAAAGTATCCTTGTCAACACAAGAATAATGCTAATAATAATTCAAACATTTTAAATATAATCGTACTCTTAAAAGAATAGTTCACTTAATCTATTGACTTGGTTATAAGAATTAAAAATTGAACAATGGATTCTTTATTTCCTGCTTACATCCGACATGGCTACCTTTATAACACATAAAAAATTTTGAGTGACTGCGTCATAATTTATTTTACATATACAAAGCGGGAACGGATCGTAACGAAGACACCACACTTCTTATTCCCAGAATCATTTCTGCATTATTATGGTTTCAAATTGGCAACAAGAATAATTATAATTATATAATATAAACTGACAACAAGTCGAGATGTATAATATAGATTTTAAAAGAAATTAAAAATTTGTTTGAACTGTAGTTTTGTTCTGTTTATTTTATGTTGATAAAAAGTAATACAATCAGAACTACATGTAAATTACAGTTATACAATTGGAGCAACGAGTGGTACAATTAAATGAACAGTTGCATAATTTGTAAAATTGAGGTTGATCCGCTGTTTAGACAGTCAAGGGGTACCACTCAAGTAATAAAAAAACAAACAACTGTACCACTACAATCAATGAAAGGTCTTGGGTTCAGGACTGAGGCTAATAGTTGTGCTGGGAGGTGATTGGGTCAGGATCGCGCTCAACCATTAGATTTTTTCTCTTAATTCTTTAATTAAGAGTACCCACTTTATGGAGACTTGGTATGCCCTAGGTGGGTCTTCCCATCCCAGGGTCTATCCACAGCTTATGAAAAATTACGTCAGCTGAATTTGAATCCATGACTTTGAGCTTAGGAAACAGTGTCCAACCAACTGAGCTAACCCGCTTTCTACGTAAAATAATAGAGCACGTAATAAGGAAAATATCTTCTGCTAAAAAATAAGTTGATATAGCTCATTTGACTTCAACACAAATAGCTGAAATAAGTATAATAATAAAATACATTTAAAAAAAAAAAAAGATATCAGGTAAGATGGTATTGGAGAAAGAGTCATCTTGTTCTCTGAAAAGCCAGTAAATTTATTATTGAATTATTTGGGTATTCCTGCGAAGGTTGTCTTTCACGTCAGAGCTGAACTCCAGAGGTCGTGGACAAACCAATCTCCATCCTGAAGAACCTGGCCAGCCATCTCCACTTCCACTTCATGCATCCATCATTCTCTGGGTCATCCTCATCTCCGTCTTCTCGGTGGTTACCAATCTAGAATTCGGTAAGGCTATCACTCGGCAGACATTTGTCTTACATGGCCGTATCACAGCAGTCTTTGCCGTCCAATCCTCTGGTTACTAGATACAGGAGCCTCCATCCTGTCCCTAACAACCTCGTTCCTAATTCAATCCATCCTTGTCAAGGCATCTCCTCCAAAAGTCAATTTCCACAGTTTGAAGTACAGCATGTGGTAATAGAGTTGGGATGACATGGTCCAGATTTCAGTTGCATACGTCAGGATGGGTTCTACGATGGCATAGTATATCCTTTTCTTTTAGAGCACTATCATTCTACAAGACAGGATGAAGCACCTTTGTACAGATCTGAGGGTCGACACGAAGATTACCTGGGTCTCCAGCGCAAATGTATTTTGACTTTGAGAAATTCACATCGAGTCCCACAGAGTCATAACAAACCCATAGTGAGCACATCATCCTTTCAAAAAAACTTTTTTGCCCGCAAATATGACCTGATCATCGGCAAAAAAGAGAGACATTAGCTGTTCATGTCCGATCCATTCGGTAAATAAATTTTATTTAATTAATCACCAATTTTAATCAAAAATCATTTTAAAAAGTACAGCATATGATAATAGGTGTAATTATAGAGATGAATATGGTGCAGGTCACCAAAAGTTTCTTTGAATCAATAATGAAATGAAATAATAAAAATTATAGAGAGAATATCATCGGTAAAAAATTCTGATCTTAAAAAAAGATTATTTAAATAAGCCCATTAAAACTAACTTGTAATTCTTCCCCTCCCCCATCTCTTATAGATGCAGGAAGAATAAAATAGGTATAATAGATATAACAAATATGCATATTAAAACAATACAGAGAAAATTTTCATCGCCGCAAAAATTCATAACACCATTATTATTGTTGTTTCTAGTTTATAATCTGAGCATCAGATTAGAGGGAGTGCTTGTCACATAAAAATTCTACAAATTACATTTAATTCAGTATTTTAACATTACATAGCAATTATAATTGAGCAAACATTTTCCACTTAAATGGCAGGTAATATATAATCAAGAGTTGGTGATTAGTATGATTCAACTTCTTTCGGACACATTCAGGTATTTACAGAGAATCTAGAAGTAGCATGGTCCGAGTGATCATGAAACCAGTCGCCATCTTGGAGTAGCGAAACGGAACTAGTTCCAATTTTTAATTATTTAATATTATCTGGAAATCGCGAATATCCTTACTTCTTTGTCTTGGTGATACGCCACTTGGCCAGGTTCCATTGCATCTGTTTTCTTAAGATTTGACCACATCGTGTAAACAACATCAACATCATTCATTTTGTTCCCGGTGATGCTATTGGCTTTAACAAGCTGGGCGGCATCTTCTAAAACAGCTGAAGGAATGTCATCGATAGTCTGTCCCTGTGAAATGAAATGTCTATTATTTAAAACCAAGCTTAATCCTTCTTTGGTTAATGGAATTATAATTATTAATTATACCTCTTTAAGTCTTAGATACACATGAGCGGAGGAAACTTTGTCAACATGAAACCAAACATCTTCTGGCCAACCCCATTTAATAAGATCTTCATCTAGTAAAAAATATTTATTTTAAAAACTATACAATCAGAACTAAGGTTTTGAAAGATATATTTAAATAACTTACTTTCATACTTGTCAAATCCCATGAACAGTGTTACAGATGGAGAGACAACTAGAATAAAATTGGTTTAAAAAGTATTCATAACAATAAAAATAAATTTCATTAATGTTACTTACTTGTACTGGTGAAATAGTATACCATATTGTTAAAACACGAAATTTCAGCTATTAAATATTAATATCCGCCTGTAACCACGATCTACATCACTAAAAATAGTCTGTAACCTGGATTCAATAACCTTCCTAACAGTGTTGTTTGTTTACCTAAACGTTCTGTAGTTTTTCATCTATATTTGTATAATTTAAATAGAGTTTGATCTGTACTAAAGATGATTAATTAAATTAAAATACTGTTTTTGAAAATAAAAATTGGTGATTATTCTTAGTCGAAGTATTTCTGAAACAATATTTTTGGAAATCAAATATTGGTTATCGATTTTTGAGTTGTTGATTTGGCAAGAGGTTGAATATGAAATTTGAAATAAAATTGGGTACCGGTAAAAATGTTTAATTGATATAGTTTTGATATTTATATTGGTGTATATCCCTCATTCAAATTTATAAAATGTTCATATACCTCTGCAAAAAGGTTAGCTTTTATCTATTTTTATAATAATGAAAATAAGATTTATTTAGATTAATTTTAGTTGTTACCTCCTTCTAACTTGTCAAATTTGTTTAATTAATATACTTAATCACTTATCTTTAAATACAAAGTGAAACATTTAATTGGAATTAGTAATAAGATAAAAGGAGTTCTGCTTATCACAGTTGATAATAGTTAAAAAGTTTTTAAAACAAAAATTATTTATTATTGATATAACGTTAATGTTTTAAATGCATTAAATACAATAACAATTTCCTATAGCAAAAGGGTTTAATAATTTAATTAATCCTTCAGAGGTAGGAGCCTATTTCGACTTATGCAACAGAACTTTGTGGTTCAGCAAATCACATATATAGAAACTAAAATATCAATAACACAAATAAAAAGTCTTTGAATATTAAAAAAATGACATTAATATGCCAGACATTGAAATGACCTCAGTAAACAGTTACATACAATAAACATATATCTTATTTAACTCTCTGGATCTTAATCACTCCAATCCAATCTTACAAGAATTGTTATCCTTCCTATTTATAATTAACCATCAATTATAATTTATAAATTATAGTTAATCAACTATTAATCATAATTAATTATTTATTTTAAATAATTTATTTACTTTATAAACAGATATCTATGCCAAACAATACAAGGATATATTGTTTGGCATGGAGCAGCGAGCAAGGATGGATTGGTCTGGGAGGGGATGATGGATTGCTGAAAGTATTGAAATTGGAATCAGGTATGCGTAATAGCAAGATTATTATTTATTTATATCACTCTTTTTTGTTTTAATTATTATTATTTATTTATAGGTAAAACAAAGGGAATCACTGCACCTGCCAATCTCTCGATGAATCAGACGTTAGAAGGACATACTGGGAAAGTTCAAGTGATTACGTGGAATGAACAGCATCAAAAGTTTACAACAAGTGACCAAAATGGTCTGATTATAGTATGGACTATGTATAAGGTAAGAATTTCCATTCATAATTTTTGTTTTATATTTGAGTATAATATGATTAAATTTTACTTATATTTCAATAATGCCTGGTGAGTCCCTTTCTTGTGTTTCTTACCACTTTGGTTGCAAAGTTCCTTATCAAAATTCTCTATTTTGCTCTTATTGAGATCTTTTTATTAATTTAATTTTTTAGTTTCACTTTGTAGGCAATTTAGTTAAATCATTCAAATGAGCAATTAGAATATTCCGGAAGATATATAATTTTTTGAACAAACAGCTGAAATGGGAAATTCTGCCCCACCAGACATTACTTCTTCTGACTTCTACTTATTCCGATTGCTGACTTATGAACACAGGCAAAGAACACCAAATTTAGACATAGGTAGTCAGTCGATGCCTTTAACAAAGATGCTTAGTTTGGTACAAAATTCTATATACCCCGAGAGGATTTGTGAAACCCAGTAGTTTGGTGATACACAATTTGCTTCTAATTGGGACAGAACGGTCAAAAAGAATTTTCCTATGGTCTCATCTTTTGGGATTGTTGACTACCACCAGTTCCATCCCTCAATTTTTTATAGTAACATCTTCAAACAGAATAAGGTTGAGAACTAATCACCTCGTGATACAGTTTTTTTTTACCAGCAACAGAACCGTTCCCTATCCACCAAGGGAAAACTCTTTGCAGCCAAAAAAGGCAGATTTTTTTGATATTTTTCTCCTATAACTCCTAAACGATGTATCAAAGCGAAAAATGTACTCTTTAATAAATTAAAGAACATTGAATTGTGTGTCGAACGAGTAGTATATGTCTAAACCCATATATACAAGTTAAAAAAATAAAAACTTTTCTCACATTTTTTGTAATGGATTTCCTTTTTCGATCCTCAAATTACTGGCCTAATATTCTTTAAATTAGCCGCCACTTTTAAAAGCAGTGGCTCTGGAACGGCAGACAAGGTTCTTTTTACTCAGAATAACACACTTTCATAATTTACAATCAAACCTTTGCCTGTGATTAGGTCGATTTTTGGGCTCTGGCTCCAGGGCTATATGATATTACATATATGGAATAATATATCTAGGTATTATAAATTTTGTTTTAGGGAAATTGGTATGAAGAGATGATTAATAATCGAAACAAGTCTGTAGTAAAAGGAATGGCTTGGGATTCTGAAGGAAAAAGAATATGTATAGTATATGAAGATGGTTAGATTTTTTTTTAGAATATATTTCATTTATATATCCTTGTTGTATTGTTATATGACGATACATTGGTATATTTTTCTAATTTTTAATAGGTGCTGTTATTGTTGGTTCTGTTGATGGAAATAGAATTTGGGGAAAGGAATTGAAAGGTTTAACGCTCACAGGAGTTCAGTGGTCACCCGATGGGAGGTATTTAGTTTTTAGTCTGCGAAATGGAGAAGTTCATCTTTATGATAACCAAGGAAATTTTTTTGTGAGTATTTTTTTTGTAAATATTAAATTTTTTAATTTTTTTATAATAGTTGTGGAAAACTCTGGTTTCAAGAGTTGATAAATGTTTTAATGATATGATCCTCCTTAACTTTCAACAGTGTTGGGCGTCTAATTTGTTTAAGTTTATATTTAAATATCTTTCTGTTATACATTATTCAATGCATTTTTACAATTCATTTTTTCGTTATTTGACAGATAATCTGAACCATTTGTTATCTATTATACAATAATCGTTATTTAAATTAATTATATCACTTGGTAAAAAACAAAAAGAAAATAAATAAAAATAAACATCCTGGTATATTTAATCTGTTTAGTCCCACCAGTACACAAAAATTCACCCTGTCGCCCATTCATATATCTAAAATATTTTCAACTTTTCATTTGCTTTTCCTTCTATATCTCATGAACGGTAGATTAGATTTTTATATTAATTTTCCTTTCATCCCACTTATAAATAGTTGAAAAATTGTTTGATCCAAAAAAATTCATTCAACAGCTCATGAAATATAAGAGGAGGATTTAAACTTTTATGGAACTTTTTTAAGAAGATCCATTTTAACAGTTCCTGTGAAACTTTTCAGGAAAAAATTTCTTATAATAAAAGTTCCAAGGAACTTGTTTTTATTATAGTTCTATTGGGTTGTCTGAAAAATAATGCAGGATTTTGGTTTAAAAAGAAAGATTTACAACTGTTTTATTTAATCAAAATAGTCTCTACTACTATTAATGCATTTCTGCCAATGTATTGGCAACTTTTTCATTCCCTCAGAATAGAATTTCCCATGTTTAGAATTTATAAACTCCAAAAACACATTCCGAGAGGTCCGGAGAGTAGGGCGGATGTGGCAGAGTTTCATATCCAAGTTCCAACAATTTTTGTGATGTCATACGTGAGACATGTGGTTAAGCGTTGTCATGCAACAAAATAAGCCCTTACCGTTTGACCAAAGATGGTTTCATTATTGCCAATTTCTTATGCATTGCATTAATTTGGTTACAATGCGATTCAGCATTGATGGTTTCTCCAGGATTTAAGAAGCTGTTGTGTATCAAACCTAATGAACCCACCAAACAATAACCATTGCCTTTTTTTATGAATTGGGGGCTTTGGAAAGTATTTTGCTGCTTCTCCTTTGTCATGTCACTGTCCAGAACATCTACTGTTATCGCAAAGTATCTGCTTTTCATCACAAGTAACAATTCTGGACAGAAAAGGGTCGTTTCGGAAAAGAAGTGTAGTACAAACTTCATAACACTGATTTTTTTTGGCGTTCGTTTAATGTGTGTGGTACCCAACTTTTAAGGTTTTTTATATTTACATATGCCTTGAGGTTGTCATTGACGGTTGATTTGCCAAGGTTAAGTTTCCCTGCAAGTTCTCGAACAGTTGTTCTGAGGTTTTCTTCCACCAAAACCTGCAGAACATCATCATCAAGAGAGGAAGGAAGTCCTTTCACGACCTTCTTTATCTTCAAAGCTAAAGTTATGGAACCCTCCCAAAATTTATGGAACCACCATTGAAGAGTGCACTCAATAATGCTGCTCTCTCCCCAGAGAGTAAGATAGATAATCAACACAAAATTAAACATATAAAAAATGTGTGCTTTCTATTTTCTTTCTTTTTCATTTAGCCAGATTGAGCCACAGCAATGCATGGCTGTGTAAAGCTAGTAATAAATAAAAAATAAACAGATTATTTGTTATTTTTAAAAATAACTAAATCATATGATGAGTATTCAATATTTAATAGTTGACCGTTGCATAATTAAGGAAGGAGATGGCTTGGGGTGGCGGTCATAAATAGAATAAATAGTGGCAAAACTATTTTAATAAAAGATATATATATCTTTTTGTAGCTTGTCCGTTCTAACTCTGAAGAAGACTTGCAAAGTCGGGTCGAAATGTTGGATTTTATTAAAATAGTTTTGCCACTATTTAGTGTATTTATGACCGCCACCCCGGACCATATGATAAGTATTACTATCATTCACAATAATATTTGTCTTTTAATGTATTATAGATAAACTAAGGTGGTTGAACATAGATGCTCACCATCCTGCCTTTTTGGTAAAAAAATATCATTTATTTTAAACTGAATCCAATGTTCTAGTTGCACATATCATTTCATTTTTAACTGTTTATAATAATTCAAAATCTCTCATGAATGTTTCACAAAACTCACTATTGAAAACTAAAGCATATTTTCATTTATTTTTTATTTTATAGATGAAATTAAGCATCCAGTGCTTTCCATCTTTGGTTATCACCGGTATACCAGTGGTTAGCATGGCTTGGTATGACGGTAGAAATGGATATGTTGAAAACAACTGTCCATGTTTTGCTATTTTGTACCAGACAGGTCAGTTGCAACTAATGAGGAACCAAAATGATGAAGGTAGTGTTTCATTATTTATTTTTTATTTTTTAAACTATTTATTCAAGATTAACTATTTAACTATTTATTCACTGTATTACAATATAAATACATCAAGTAAATGTATACACAACAATATAATCACTTGAAAACGCTTGTTGAGAAACTACCCACAGGTAGCACTCTAATAATATGTCTACATAAGGAGATCACGAGGCCATCTTCTTTTATTAATTTTAAATACAAACTTGTACTTAGTTTACTTCTGTGGCTCTATAGCTCTTGTAGGTCCTTGGCTTGCACAACAATGCCTCTCCAATCCTCACTATCATCTCCCCCGGTTCCTTCACTGTCCAATTCCCATCTGTAAATTATTTGTATTTGTATTTTATTTGTATTATTATTCAGTTATCAGAAGAATGTCATTCGGATCTTTAAAGAATTGATTAAAACTGGATAGAAGTTCCATTTGTGAAGACATTTTGCTTTATTATTTTCAATAATGAACCATTGTGATCAAAATAAAAATTCAAAACTTAACCCACTCTCAAAATTTGAGGTTTTACGTTTCAGGATACGTAGAATTCGAAAAAAGAATAAAATTTTTTTTTTGTCCATCCGACTTTTCTTTGCCGTCCATGCATTTTCTCTGAAACTGCTGGACTGATTTTTTTCAAATTTTGATTTAAAATCAGAGGTCACCCGAGGATGATCCTCCTTCATCGACTTTTACTTTCAAAATGGTGGCCAAAAAACCTACGTTCCTATAGACTGTTGTATATGCTTATCTAAAAGTTTATAGAATTTTCTAAAAAAATCGTTAAAATCGGACAATTAAGAACAAAGATATGGTTTCTAGTTTTTTTAAAAATGTTCTACTGCAAAGATTATATCCTTTGTTTTAGTTTTTTAATGTGTTACTGAAGTAATGCTAATTTTTTTAGCATATTACTAATGATTGGAATCACTTTTTATATATTTTTTTTTCTTTGTCATTAGGAAGGTAATGTTACTTTAGATTTATATTTGTTTGGAAATAATAAACCATTGTGAAATAATTTGCAGTTTTTTTTTTTTGTTTGTTCTCCTTTCTCACAAACTGGCTGATTCATTCATGAGTATAAATGAGTATTCTTAATGAATGGAAAGGGGTTCAAATCGTCACCTTGCATTTGTTTCTCGAACTTTACTTTAGTTTATGGTTCCTAATAGTCAGGATAAGAAACAATTATTGAACTGTTTAGAAAAGCTTTCTTTTAATCTTTTACAAGAATTTGGAATATATTAAATGGAATTTCATAAATTATAAATTTATTCATGTAATTTATTAAATATGAAAAATCAATTTTTTAAGTAATATTTTTGTTTTTGTAGAAATATTGTCTATCTTTTCATTTACCTGAAAATAAACATTGTTTCACACATTAAATTCTCAATCTAAAAAAAAAAAAAAGAAAGTGTGAGATTTGCTTTATGGATAGAAGTAATGATCAAATTATTTTTATTTTATCTTTTTACAATGTGAACTATTATGGTTTAAGCTAAACTAGTTAAGCTTGTTAAGTCAGTAAAGCAGGGCTGAATAGGCTAACCCATGTGCAAAACACATGTTGCCCGGCAACCTGATAAACTGAAGTTACATAATAAAATAATTAAGAGTTCGTGTCCCAGTGCCGAAGTGGCTTTTAACTCTAGCATTAACCCCCTGCTCTCTCTCCTGGCTCAGAAAAAACTCTGTATAGCCGAAAAAGCGAGGAAGGGGAGGACAAAAAAAATCATCAAAAAAAATATTGAATCATCTACTTCCTTGTGTTCTCCAAGAAACAAACCACTTTTAACTCCATGAATACACTATTACTTTGAAAGGAAGGCTTAGAATTATTATTATTTATTATTTTTTTGTATGAATTATAATAAATAACCTTTCATTTTAGATCCAGTAATTTTGGATACTGGCATCAGTGCTGTCAATTGTAGCTGGAATCACAATGGCAGTGTATTAGCAATCGTTGGTTCCTCCGTATTTCCAGAAGACAACAAGGAAACAAATGTTGTGATATTCTACAGTCTTTATGGCGAAGTTAGTAAACTATTAATGTACCTAGTCCTGTCATAAATATTTTTACAAGGAAATATATACAGATTTCAAAAGAAAAATTAATTTTTTCAAAATCTTTATTAGAAAATAAAATGTATATCTATAGAGAGTAAAAAAAAAAATTACTCAAAATGTTCTCCTTTTGTCTTGGCACAGGCATGTAATATCCGTGGTCAGTCATCAATAGCAGCACGCAGCACTTCTTGAGGAAAGCGCTCAACTGCTCTGACCAGAGATTGTTTGAGGATTTCCAAATTAGAGAGTGCTGTGTGGCATGCCGTTCTCTCCAGTTCGGACCAAAGCCGATAATCTGGTTAGTGGGTTGAGATCAGGGCTTCCTAATGACCAATACGAGGCAAATATGAACTCTGGAATGTTCTTTTCCAGCCACTGCTGAGTTGTCTAGGCTTTGTGAGCTCGAGAGGAATCCTGCAGGAAAACCCAATGACTATCAGCAAATAGTATTTTTCAGGGGCTTGAAAACAGGTTCCAAAAAATCTTCCTGATAGTTTTTAGCGGCTGTTTTAACTCCTTTTTCACAAAAATGGAGCTTTCTGGTGCCATGAAAGCAAACTTCCCACCAAACCATCACTGAGGAAAGGTGATGACCTCTTTCCACTCTTCCAATACACTGCTGGGCTTCTTTAGAGCTGTGTGCGTACACTCGATCATTTTGGTGATTAAATTTTTCTTCAATAGTAAAAATTTTCTCATCGCTGAACAAAATCTTTCGATGAAGACCATTGGTGTAACGGCCAAGGAGCAGTTTGCATCTATCGACTCTAATTTTTTTTTAGGGAAGTGGTTAGTCTTTATCCTGTCATTTTTTGAAATGCAGCCATCCTAAGGTCATTTTTTACTATGTGAGCCATTGATCTGACAGAGAGTCCCATTTCCCAAGACATGATTTGTTATTTTCGAATGGGATTTCTTCTGGTTTGAGCAACCACTGCTCTCACTGCATTTGCAGTTCTCACAGTGTGGGGATGTCTATTTATTTATATCTATTTATAGTGCGGTACACGAACATGCGGCTGATACCCAAAGGTTTCAAAGTTTAAAATCTCTGACCTACATTTTTCAACTTTTTGTAAGGTGATCACATCTATTTGGTTTTCTTTATCACCCCATTGCATGTTAACCAAGCGAAAAAAAATTCAAACTAATTGGGATTATTATCCTGACATGTAAAGACAATAATCTGATAGAGGTAAGGATTATTTAAATAATACCCAAGGATGTAAACAAAGTTCAACTTTTGTAACAGTATTTATGGCACAACTAGGTATATGTTTTTTTTTTTTGAGAAGTACTTCACAAATTTAATTTCTGAAAATTTGAATTATTTTTTTTTAGCATATAAGAACAATGAAAATCCCTGGAAGAATAATTACAACTGTAGTTTGGGAAGGAACTTCATTGAGGATAGCTTTGGCTGTCGATTCGTTTATTTATTTTGCCATTATTAGACCAGACTACAAGTGGGCCTATTTTTCAAAAACTCTAGTTTTTTCACATTCTTCTAAGTCTGGAACAGAGATAACCTTTTGGGATACAAATAACAATGAGGTAACATAATTCAGAAACTATCTTAATTTTTTTACTTTCACTTACGTATATATGTAATATATAGAAAATTTTTGAATCTGAGTTTTCAACGGAAATGCACGTTTTGAGGTACCCTGAGTCAAAATGACCAAGTCCCGAAAAATGGTCTGTGTGTTTGTATGTTAGCAGTCTAGCTCAAAAACGAAAAGTCCTACGAAACTGATATTATGTATTTAAGATAGGTATATGCCTTGGATGTGACAGCAACTTTTTCCTTAAAATTGGCTAACCGGAAGTGCCACTTTATATCTACGCTGAAACACATTTTCACAATTTTCTCAAAAACGGCTCTAACGATTTTGATTAAACTCGGTGTATCATTGTATAATTAAGTGGTCTTTAATATCAATTAGGTCTTATCTCCATTGATGTCACTTTACAGGGCTTAAATGCCCAATGTTCATATGTTTTCCTCTAAAGTACCTTTAATATGGTTTATTTTGAAAAGTTAATCATTTCACATTATTCAAAGTTACGAAAAAATGCTAAATATAACTTTTGGAAGAATTTGATAAGTTAATAAAGAAGAAACAAATAAAAATGCAGAAAAACCTGCGTTGCTATAGACTATAGTGCCTAAACGAATGTACCGATTTCAATGAAACTTCGCTAAAGTCATTTTCTCGACACCATTTAAATTTATCTACATAACATACTTCAACGAAAAGAAGCTGGAAAAAAAGTTACGAGGGACGGTAAAATTAAATTCCGAATAACTCAAAAAGTATACACTTTTTTGGGGATGTTTATGGTTTTTTTAAAAGTTTATGGAATTTCCTAAAAAAACAAAAACAAATCGTTAAGATCGGACAATTAGGAGGAAAGATATGGTCCCTAGTTTTTTTCCCTGAAGAGGCAAAAATTTGAATAAATTTAAAATATACTTTTTTAATTGTTGAGACTAAAAAAATCTTTTTTCCACAGATATTTAATAAAGTATCTTTCCTGGAATATTTTTCATAAGAAATAAGTACTTAGATTTATACCTTTATTCTCAATTCTATATTTCAACACTGCAATCACTACCTCCGGAATCAACTTACTCATATTCTGCATAGATAACTTTTTCAACTAAAAAAATCACTAAAATGACCACTCAAAAATGTTGAAATTGGAGTTAGTCATTCTTAGGTTTATAAAAGCAAAGAAAGTTGTGTGGATTATAAAAGAAGATGGAGTGACTAAATTTTTATTGCCTACCTTCGATATATTAAATAGACATTTTGTAGTTATAATCTTCTTAATGACTTGTTATCTGTAAGCTTTAGCTCCGTTTAAAATGTACTTCATAAAAATATATATAATAGCCCAGCATTGCCAGAAAATAATTTCTATTCATAGTAGATCGGTAAGTGAAAGTTGTGTGTTGCGCGCACCAGATTTTTTATTGTCTTATTACTATTATTTAGCAATTTTCTTTTATTTTTAGGTTCATAATAAGCAAGTAAAATTTCTATATGCTATTAATGCCTATAAAGAACATTGTGCAATAGCGTTCAAAACTGAAGATACGAATGAACAGTATATGATTCATGTTTGCAATTCTATCGGAATCACAGTTGATAGTAAGTTTAATGATAGTTTAATTTAAAAGTTTATATTAATATTAAAATACAAATTTAAATATTTTATTATAGGTAAAAGTATTGATATTGAACCATTATGGGTAAGCATCAATACAACTCAAGTATTTTGTGCATCTAAGGATCATTTTATGATTTGGCATTTCATGACTCCTAAATCACATTCGACTCTTGGAATAACAGGTATTTTCTTATTTTATATCTATTGATTCACATAAGGAAGTTTTATTATGCTTATTAAATAATATATAGCTATTAAATATTTGCTTCTTCACAACTGAAGGCAAAAAGTTTTGTATTCAAGGGGAGGTCTGCAGTTAGTCGGTCACTGATTTCAACCAATTTTTTTTTTTTTTTTTTTGTGAAACTACTTCGAAAAGTATTAAATATGGCTTTCGGGTACTTGTCCATTAGCCGGGCGGGACAAACTACTATCTGCCAATGTTTATAACCTCAACACTGATAATTCTGATAAAACACTGATTAGCCTTTTTGTAATTCCTTTCTTCGTATTCATATTTATGGAAATTGAAAAGACAAATGTAATAATAACAAAACACTTTTATTTTACAACATATATATGAAATATATACAAGTTGTTGGGTGCTGTATCCTTTCTAACAGTCAGAATAAATGCTGCTTCTCTCTTCTAGATTTTTTAAATACATTCTAATAAAGTTTTTGCCTTTCTGTCCTTTATTTTTATGATGAAACACTCGTCTGTTTCTCGGCAAACTCCGCCAAACTTCGATTGTTCAGGGAGATCTCCCCCCCCCCTCCAATATTTTTAGTTGACCTTATACAGGTGTTATACACAAGTTATTATGGACACAAACCTCTCTTAAAAATTTGTTCCACATTATCACACTTTTGTTCGATAGTTTCAGCTCCTCTTTGCCCCAATCTATTATTGTTAAATTATGAGATCGGCTATAAATAAATGTTAAAAGCCGTTGAAAAGGTAATCTTCAACCCCTCACATTTTTGTTACAACTACTACGAAAGCATCTCCATTTCATCTTGCTGTCAAACTTCATTTCATGACCTTCTTCACCTTTGGAATCATCCCGGCCTTTTGAAAATATTTGATAGCTTCTTCTTCTGAAGACGGCAATTCCCACAGAGTAATAATGTCCATTTCAACAATAAACAATGGAACAAAAATAAACAATGGAGTAACTCACATGTAACAGAAGGATAAGCTAAAGAAATGTAACAGCTTATATGAAATAAGAAGGGAGGTTGTGTGATGTAAGATAAGATAAGAAGGGAGTTTTCATTCTGATCGGATTGTTCACAAGTACCGGCTTTAATTTCAATGGGCTTTAGGAGCCGAGAAAAAAATATTTTATATAATTTCAAACAAAAAAAAAAAAAAAAAAACCTGTACCACTACAACCCATCAAGGGTCTTGGGCGCAGTACTATGTGAGGAAGTACTGTTACAAGGCTAACGATTGTGCAGGGAGGTGATGGGCCAATATCACTCTCAACCGCCAGGTTTTCTCCCTTAATTATTTTTATTAATTAAGGGCACCCACTTTATAGAGGCTGGGTGTGCCCCAGGAGGGTCTCCTGACCCAGGGTCGATCAGGGTTTGTGTCATTTCGTGTAGTTTATAAGGCCCTAAATCCCTGCAAAATTTCATGTAGATAGGTGGAAGCATATTGAAGTTATCAAATGTTTTGTGATTTTCTAAAAGAAATGAAAAGTTCAAATATGTAGAAAAAAAATTGTATTTTTCGATAGCTATGAAAATTCATATTCGAGTGTCTTTCGAACTGCGAAATACAAATCTCAACTCTGTTTTGGCATAAAAAAATATTTGAACACTTCGCTCCTTCTGTCAGTACAAATTGTTTAAATGTTACAAATTTCTAATCAATTTTCACCATATTTTTTTTTGTTTAGTAGTCTTTCTAATTCATGGGTGCAATCAAGAAAAAAATTCATACTTTTTGAGTTAGTCGCAAATAAAGTTTCTTTTCCTTCATAACTTTTTTTCCAGAAATTTCGGGGAGATAGGACTATTTTTGGCACATGAAGGAGAAGAATATCTTTAAAATAAGATTAAAATCTTGGCGAACTGTTTGCATGTTTGCCAATGTGTGTTATTTTAAAAATTATATCTTTTTTTATCATTTAAACAAAGAACTTTTATCGGTTCTTGATATCTGTGTTGAAATCTTGAAAACACAATCTTGTCCTCTGTTGGTCTGGTAATCTACCACTGTCAGACTTTTGGAAAACTTTTTTTTTTTTTTATTCAAGTTGTAGTATGAATTAAAGGATCTGAATAGGGATTTATTTCTGTTTCATGAAATTCTCTTTCTTTTGACACCTCATTTGTCAAAATCCATCCCTCCTGAGCACCATAAAAGGTATATGTAATACCCTTTTATATATTTAAATGATACAAGATAAATAAAATTTAACTATTGGCAGAAATTAACAAATTTCTTTTTGGCATTCATTATTGTTTAAAAAAAGAATATATTGTAATTTTTTAAGTATTCTGCTCAGAAAAATGTTAAAAACAATAATTGAACAATGTAAAGAAAAAAAAATTTTATTTTATTTGTGGGACGAGGGACTTTGGTCTACATCTTTTAAATCTAAGCTAGCTGAACTAATCACCTCTTATTTGTCTGTTCTATCATTATAATAATAATTACTATATAGGCAGGCATCGAAGAGAAAGGTTATATCACATTGACGATACTCCTTCTGGCGTTGCTGAAGTAATTCAAGATTTAGATAAAACCTATCAGGTATGTACTGATAATATATTTATGTTTAGTATTTATAACATTTTGGTTAATAATCGATTATATTTTTTCAGCCTAACGTTAATATGCAGGTAAATATTATTATTCATTATTAATATCATGAATTAAGAACACTAATAAATAATAACTTATTATGGTTTTGTTACTATTAATTGATAGGCTACAAGCGATCCTATCTGTTGCATTGCTGTCTCTGATAAAATACTCGTTATTGGGCGGGAATCTGGTTCCCTTCAGAGGTACTCTTTACCGCAAGTAGCACTTGTTCAAAGATTTACACTCCCAGTCAGGCCCAAAACTATTGCTGTGAACTGTGATTCCACGTGAGTTAACATTTTTTTTTTTACTAATTATTATACTGTAATAGGGTATGAATAATTAATATTTATATATAATTGGTCAAGATTAGTGGTTTAAATAGTGATGTGAAGAAAATAATGACTACTTTAACTTTTGAAGGAAAAAGTGAGGCGGAGCAATACTGGTGGAATGGAGAGCCATATGTTTGGGCCAGCAGAAGGTAACCAGTTGGTGTGTGTGGGCGGGGTGGCCAAATGGGCTAACGAGTGTGCACAGCACCGCTGTTGCCCGGCAACCTGACATATGAGACAACGATGAAAAGTGAAAAGTAGTTCCTAGTTCGCATCCCGGTACCGGGGGAGTCTTTTGAATCCCTTCCCACATTCCCTTTCCCGGGAGAACCCCGTATAGCCTTAAAGGCGAGGAAGGGGAGGACCTAAAAAAAAAAGGCCAATTAGTGAAGATATTTAGGAATACATGCCGGTCCAAGAGTCAAAAGAGATCATAAGTGGTAAGGAGTTCGATTTGGTGGAATATTAACACATTAGCTGTGGTTACGGTCTCCGGGTTCTCCGATATTTGTCTCGACTTTGGCCGGGATTGTTTCGAATTTTGTCTATCTTACGAAGTCTCTTAATTGGTCATTTTAAAAAATATTTGAATGGGAGTTGGATGGATGTAAAGATGGATACAATTGTAAATAATCATTATACCTGGTATAAAGCTATAGGATGCCGGGAACTGTAACCATAGCTAACGTGTTAAGAAAAAGCAAACCGAAATTGGGATATTGGCACCAAAGACACTGCAGCGTTCATGAAAGAGAAAGGTTATGCTGTTGACAAACAGTTTTAGATGGGTGACAAAATTGCCAATTTTATTGTGTCGGCAGGATAGAGAATCCAAGTTTAGACCCGGACAATTTTAGCTTTGAAAACTGTTATAATTGTTATATGTATAATTTATGGTTAAATTAATTTTTTGCATAAAATTATTTAATTTTATAATTCTGAATGAGTGTTGAGTTGTCGTAATCCGACCTGAATACAATTTTTAGAGTTTTAAAAGTATTTTTGAAATGAAACTTCTTTAGGCACGTTTTGCACTATTTTTTGTGAAGAGTGAATTAGATTGAGCTGTCAGATCTCAGATGTGTACAACTCGTGTAAAGTTGGCTGGAGTCGACTAATTGAAGTATTTTTGCATATGGATTAAAATATCTCAAAAACTATAAATCGCATCTGCAGATTGTTAGTGAGGGAAATGTTTATCATTTCATCCTCTTTATAATGAGCTATTATTAAAAATTGTATCTTAACGCGACGCCATGTTAGAGAGGCGAAAAGGAAAAAATAGTGTTGAAAAACAAATGATACTGTTGATGAAACAAACGAGTTTTATTGAAGATACGGATTAAAATATCTCAACAACTAAAAATTGGACCTACATATCGCAAGCAAGGGAATTGTTCATCATTTCATCCTCTCTGAAATGGGCTATTATTCAACATTGTATCTTAACACGATGCTGTGTTAAAAGGTGAAAGGGAAAAAATAGTATCCAAAACCAAATTATAACGAGTTTTATTGAAGATATGGATTAAAATATCTCAGATACCAAAAATCAGACCTCCATACTGTAAGCAAGGAAATTTTTCAGCATTTCATCCCCTGTAATTGGCTATTATTTAAAATTTTATCCAAACGGGATGCCATGTTATGGAGGCAAATATAGGAAAAAATAGTGTCAAAAACCAAATGATAACTAGTTTTATGGAAGATATGGATTATTTATCTCAGAAACTAAAAATCGGACCTGCAAACTGTTAGTGAGGGAAATGTTCAGCATTTCATCTTCTTTGAGCTATTAGTTATAATTTATATTATATATTATTAATTTTCCCTCGTTGATGTTTTCACTTTTATCGTGTGGTATATAACATACACCTTAGTTGTTTTTTTCCTGACATGAGAATGCACCACGTATTGTGCATCGTCCTAAAAATCTATTAAAACAGGCCGGATGCCTTTGCGAACTTGTTAAGACTGATGGGATCTATCAGTTCGCAGCACTTGTGCTCAGTGATACGATCGCATCCAAAGTGAAAGTACCTCAGTCTAGCCAGAGTACTAGAAGCCAGGCTGACGGAGATGTTGGACCCCTCTGCTACAAATCTGGCCGAGAATCCGAAATCCCAGCTCATGTGTTGGACAATTTTTCGTATAACATGCTCCTTGTCACCAACTGGCACAATAATATATTTTTTTATTTTTATTTATTTTAATGAAATTTACAACTGTATTACATGAAAAATACAATGACATTGGTAACATGACATGTACAACATAAAGAGAAACTACCCATTGATAGAACTCAAATTAAAGTTCTATATTAGAAGGTCCCGAGGCCATCTTCTTTTCAGACGCCTCGGAGGGTTATCAGGGATTGAAGAGGAAGCAAGGTTTGAAACGAGAGGATTTGGAACATATGGAACATTAAGGTCTTTATGGATGATTTTATTTGTGACAAAGTAAGGAGCGTTGAGGATTTTATGAAGGATTTTGAATTGTAAGGATTGGATTTGAGAGGAATTCGATGGTTTAGTGGAGCCCCAAAGCTCAATTCCGTAAGTCCAAATAGGTCTTATTATTGTCATATATATGAGTCGTTTGTAATTGATTGAAAGCTTAGAGCATTTGTCTAGTAAGTGCTGCAGTAGTCGAAAACGTCGGGCGGTTTCTGGTCGTTTCAGTCTGGTATGGGGGTACAATAATATTAAACATCGAATAGCCGAATTTCTTAAAATGAAGAAATATAGATGTTTCCTTGAGATTTATAGCCTGGATATGGAAGGCTCAACTAGCTTCATTGACATTATAGCATCAATGCGATGGTAAAGGAGACACTAATAGGGAATCCCACAATCAGATTTGAAACAAACAATCAGGTTCAGGACTTCAGGGTACAGTCAGAGAAGGAGGATATCTCTATAATAAATGCATACCTTACTTAAAGGAAAAGTATAGAGATGAATTCAGCGAATGAGAATTCTCAGTTACAGGGCTATGGTTCGGTAACTAGGGAAACATCCCTCTTAATACAAGTAATTTGTTGCAGAGGCTCGGTGTTGGAAGGGAGCAGATGCGGACTATGGTAGAAACTATTATTTTAGATTCATTAGGAATCCTCCATCACCAGATATATTGATTGATCTTAGCTTTCATTTATTTGGTCCTGTATACTGTTCTTGGTATATTACACTGGCATAGCTGTTGCAGTGGTCCAACCTAACTCTCTCTTATTTTATTTTTTAAATATTATTTGTTGATTGATTGAGTATGCTGTGAAAATAACCTACTGAAAGTTAATTTTAAATAATTTGTTTGGCGGAAATAAGGAATTGCCTTCCGCTTTTATATCGGGGAACTAAGTTATTTACACTCATGATTATTAAAATAAAACCCCAGCACTGGATATAGACTTTTTGAGGGTGTTTAACTGTTGTTGGGAATTCGGGAATCTAATACCTTTTGTGACACTGAGTGAGAAGAAACAATAAGAATATATATTTGAAATGTTGGACTTAGTAAATACACTTTGAATGAATTGACTCACCTGGTTTGTTATTCTTCAATCATGAGGCATATAGGACAACTAAATAAATAAATGACTTTTCACTCGTGAATAACAAAATAATTTATTTCTACAACTGTAATAAATTGAAAGTGTTATAACTATAGACTTGATCTTCTAAATCTTGTAGTAGACTCTCTTCCCAGGTATGTTGTTCCGCCTCAATGTCCAGCCTCTATTCCGTCCTCCTCTCTTCTGACAACCTCCTTTCTACCTGTCCCGGCCTAGAATGCCTTCCCTTCTCTCCAGATTTTGCTACCTGCTGGGTCCTTTCAGTACCTCCAACCTTCATCTTTCTTTATCGATAGACCTTATCGATGAGACCCTTCAATGAATAACCTGTCCACTGCATAACTGAGTACAATTCATCTTGTAACCTCACATTCCTATATATTCCTTCTCATTCCCTCACACAATGTCACATAAAGGAGTAAATACAGAGGGCTATCTACTACAGTATGCTGTGAGATTTAGCTACTCAACACAATTGAGCAGCCATGAAATATTATTGTAGTTCTCTCTACTAATTAAGTGAAGTCCTAACTAACAAGATTGAAATATATGAATTAATAATTTTTAATGTACTTTTTGATAAAAAAATATTTTTAATTAACTGTAAACTTTATTTTGAATTTTAGGAGAATTGCTGTAATAGATATAAGCGGTGTGTTGACCTCTGTGGATATGGAAAGCAGCGTGAACAATAATAAACTCGAGAGGAGAGACGTGTGGGCCATACAATGGGCCTCTGATAATCCAGACCTCTTGGCCATTATGGAGAAAACTAGAATGTATGTCATACGTGGCAGTGAACCGGAGGAACCTATTCAATCATCTGGCTACATATGTTCTTTCAAAGTAAACTTATTATTTAATTTTTTATTTTGTAACTTTAAGATTGTGTGCATGACTTTAATTTAAGCTAATGTTCAGTATATCGATAGCCACACTGCAAAAACCTGTAATTTCTATGGAAAATGAGGTTTTGAGCTTTTCTAGTCAACCTTGTGCTGCTGGTCCATATTCTGATCTGAGAAAATGAAATCTACTATGTTACAATTTTTCTCTATAGCTTTTTGTAAAAACCTATAATTTAAAAACTAGCAAATTGTTGTGTAAAAACTGTAAGTTTGTAGTAGACATCCCCCCGGTATTTACTCCTTTATGTGAGGGTATGTATGAGAAGGAATATATAATATATAGGAATGCGAGGTTGCACTGTGAATTGTGCATTGCACAAATTATTCATGGAAATGTCTCATATCGATAAGCAATCGATGAAGAAGGACGCTGGAAAAAGGTCAGAGCAGGTAGCTAAGAACAGCTGGCAGAAGGAGGCCGAGAAGAGCACTTGAGGATGGGACAATGAGACAAGAAGACGTCATCTGTGAAGAGAGGCTTACTACATTGAAGACTAAGAATATCAAACCTACAGTTATAAGACTTTAATAGATTCGGTTATTATCAGTTGTTAAAATAAATTGTTTTGTTAGAGAGGAGTGAATAGTCCTTTTATTTAGTTGTTCTATATGCCTCACGATTGAAGAATAACAAACCAGGTGAGTCAATTCATTCAAAGTGTATTTACTAAGTCCCACATTTCATATATATATTCTTATTGTTTCTTCTCACAGTCACAAAAGATATTAAATTCCCGAATTCCCAACAACAGTTAAACATCCTCAAAAAATCTATATCCAGTGCCAGGGATTTGTTTTAATATTCACGAGTGTAAATAACCTAGTCCCCCGATATAAAAGCGGAAGGCTATTCGCAAATTCCCGCCAAAGCAAATTATTTACATTTAAACGTTTATTAGGTTATTTACAGAATGTATAAAACGTTTTGCGCATAGACTACAGTATCAATTAGCTTTATTAATAGGCTAAAATTAATTTTTCTCTTACGTTTTGTATTATTTTTTTAAATTTCTAATAAGTGGCAGACACTTCCAGCCTGGCACCTCTTGTCAAATGCCCAGGTTCCCCTGCTTGGAGGTTAGCACTGCTTACCCTAAAACTAGACGAAGCACAGAAGAAGTGGTAAGTGGGAATATAATATTAAACGGCCTTCAAAACAATCGAAACCTCTTGGACACTGCAACATGAGCTTGACTGAAAAAAGCTTTAATACTGCCGAATCACACACACGTATGAGACAGGAAATTGATTTCATTAATTGGAAAATTTAACACGAGACGAAAAATGAACTGTAGTTTCAGCTTTTCAAACCAATTGAATCTTCGAAATCGCAAGAAGCTCCTCAAAAATGAAGTTATCTACACATCAGCAGGTTACTTATAACTTGCCAAACATTCGTGAATCAAACCATCTCCATAAGAAGTTGAGTATATAATGCTCATAAAACAGAAATTAGGAAGTTTTTTTCGTCTCCTAAAAATTTTTAATTTTTGTTCTTACAGGCTTTTACGATTGTCGATGTGCTATGATATAGTAGTTTTTAACACATACTCATGGAGCCAATGCTCAGCTGTAAAATCTCTATATCTGCTATTACCTTACCAGTTAGATATCTCTTATCTATTTCCGCTTCATGTCACACTTTTTAGTTTGTTATAAAAATGATTATGGATTGATCGAATGTAATTTATAACTATTACGATACAGATGTTTGTATGTAAGATTTTGTTTGACAAATGTTATTGCTCATAGAAATTTGGAATGGTTATTTTCAAATATATGTATGTTGTGGCGATCCATCAATTTGGGGGCTGGATAAGTTGCCATAAATTATTGTATAAATATTTATACATTTTAATAAATCTGTAGATCTTAAGTTTCTTCCTGAGTTATAATTGGATACTCACGGTGAAAAAAAATTGTGTAAATTTGAGCTGCAATAGAATTTGAGTGATATTTAATGTATATATAAGATTAAGAGTACATTTTTAAATAATAAAACGATATATGTATTTAGCTAAAACTTGAAGTCATTGTGCTGGTACCTGGGAGAGGCTGTATCGCTCTCTGAGTTCCTAACTATAAATTAAACATTTAAACTCAGTGAGTAGGGTAAATGCATCAGTGATGGACATAGCTAAGGAAATTTTTGTCTTTTTTGGCTTATGCCGCTGTAATTATTATAATTATAAACTTCTCTGTTAGACATTTAGAATCTCATGAGTCTCCTTTTTCTATTCAACACTTTTAAATTGAAAAAATATTCAGTTATGCAGGTATAATCTCCATTAAAAAAAAAAAAATACCTTTTTGCACTAGTGATGGACACTCCGAAATTCAATTGTTCTAGTAATGGACAGGGGGTCGGTACCAGTAATGGACATACCTCAGAAATTATTTATTACTCATTCATTACTCATTCTATAATCTTTATTTAACTATAAAGATAACAATAAAGATAAGATAAGATAAATGTTCAACTTACTCTTAGCAAAACTGTCAGTAGGAAGGTGGGAAACACACTAATCCCAAAAGCACTAAAGAAATTATAATGATAGGCATTTTAAAATTTTCTTTTCGAAACTTTATTCAGACAATTGTCAATAGAGGGCATTGTTCTTCAATCTAGAAAAAAAACGGAACCTTTAAATCACAACACGGAAGCTTATTATTTATATCTGAAGTTCAATCTGTCCATAACTGGTGTGTTCACCTTATAGGATGAAAGAAAAAATAGGAAGATATTTTTTGGATGAAAGTTTTGAAACTGGAAATAATAGTATGAGGTGCTGGTAGCTCTAACGTAGCCGTGTATCCACTCAAATCATGTAGCTTTGTCATCACTGCTTTCCTTTAATCTTAATTATGTTTACGAATTTGCATAAGAAAAATTCTGATCTTTGCTTTTTTTATTGTTATCACTGAATTTTCACTGATCAATACAAATTGAAAATTTATACAAGTGTCCAATTTAGGTACACACAAGAGAGAAAGGTACATTTGTTACAAGACTTTTTTTTTTTGAAAATCCTTTCTTCAGATATTCTTAGATATTAAAAAAAAACAAAGGCAACAAAATTCCTCCCTAAATATGTAATTAATTTTGGTAGGGAAGTTAGTCAGCAGTCTCAATAAAGGACACAAATAAAAACTATTATTTTGATTTTGTTTTAATTTTTTTATTGATGTGTAAAGTTCTTTAGGTGCTTCTTGCACTTTTTTTCGGAGAGTGAATTAGATTGAGCCGTCAGATTTCCGACGTGTAACGCTCGGGTAAAGTTGGCTGGAGTTGACCAATTGAAATGTTTTTGTATATGGATTAAAATATTTCAGAAATTAAAAATCAGACCTGCATACTGTAAGCGAGGTAATTGTTCAACATTTCATCCTCTCTGAAATGGGCTATTATTAAAAATTTTATCTTAACGCGACGCCGTGTTAGAGAGGCAAAAAGAGAAAAAATAGTGTCGAAATCCAAATTATAACGATTTATATTGAAGATATGGAATCAAATATCTCAGAAACTAAAAATCGGACCTGCATACTGTAAGCGAGGGAAATGTTCAGTATTTTATCCTCTTTGAGATATGTGTAATTTATATTTCATATTAATCATCTTGTCTTGTTGATGTTTTCACTTCTATCGTGTGGTCTAAAGCCCGCACCTTATTTTTTTATTCCAACCATATTATCTACAGCCAACAATTTCTCTACCATTATAATTAAATTTTTTCATCTTTACCATTTGTAGGACTTAGAAATTAGAACTGTTCTGCTTGATGATATAATGGCTAATCCAGATGTACTCACTATAGAAGATCACATATTGGACTTAGAAGTAAAGTCCTTAAGAGATACGAGGCAGCTTTTAGAAAAAGTCGGAATAAACGAAGCTACTGCTTTTATAGAGCAAAATCCCCATCCTAGATTATGGTTAGTTTATTTATTTTATTAAATATTATTATTTTATTAATTATTATTATTTTATTAATCAGATTTGAATGTTGATAGGCATCTTCTTGCTGAAGCTGCTGTGAAGAAACTCGATATAAAAACGGCCGAGACAGCCTTCGTTCACTGTAGCGACTATCCAGGATTGCAGCTCATCAAAAGGCTCAACAATATTACTAATGATCAGATCAAGAAGGCTCAAGTTGCAGCTTATTTCGGCGATTTCAACGAAGCTGAAAAACTTTACCTGGATGCTGATAGGAGGTAATGGATCAGTAAACACCAAATTACAATCTTGTATTTTATGAGAAGGAGTTGGTCGGGGAGTGCGGTCAAATAAATGCTAAAGTTTTAAAAAATAGTATTTTTAATTGTTTCGACCCACCTTGCAGGTCTTCATCAGGGCTACAAAAGATACAAAATATAAAAGGTAGATAAAGTAGAATTATAAGTACATATAAAATAAGAAACAGTTGTCTGATAAATAAATAATAAGATATAACATTAATAAGATATCAGTGGATAACAAGCTACATTTATCAAGTGTAACCTTCACTAGCTTGTTATCCACTGATATTTTATTAATATTATCTTATTCTTATTTTAGCTTTACTAGATCATTACTTATTCATTTTTCAATTTCTTTATTCGTCAACACTCATTTTCTTTATCTGTTAACCTACAGTTATCAAAAGTAATCTTTAACAGCTTGTTATACACTCATTTCTTATCTTTTATCACAATATGTTTCCTTTTAACTTACACGCTATATTCTCCTTTGTTTTCTATTTATATACATACTTATTTTCTATTTTTGTTTGTATCTTCTATAAATATAATACTTGATATTTTAACTACACTGTCACCCATTATATCTCTGATATCATTTTATTACTTCTTTACCAGACAACTGTTTCTTATTTAATATCTATTGATAATTCTACTTTTTCTACCTTTTATATTTTGTAGCCCTGATGAAGACCTGCAAGATGGATCGATATGTCGGCGAAACAATTAAAAATACTATTTTTTAAAAATTTAGTATTGTATTTGACCCCCCTCCTCCCTCCTCTCCCCCGACCAACTCCTTATCATATTATATTACGGTCAACCGTCTCTACATCATTATCAATCTTGTATTTTACATTTATGGACATGTATACTAGGTACTTGCCGGGGGCAGCAATTCTTGAGAAGCCTCAAAATTTGAAATTGTTATATTGGTTTGAAATTATAATTTTAAATTATAAAAATCTGACTCGAAGTTGGCCCTTGCGGGTTGAAATTTATTTAGAGTTTTAGAGTTTTACTAATCAATAATTACAATTTGGTCCGACCAGATGGTAACGTCTATCAGTCGGTGCCATTAATGATAAGTAAATAATTTCTACAGGGTTACATTTTTTTTTTTCTAACAATTTCAGTTTATAACACAGTAGAATAATACAATATAGTATAATGATATAATAATATGTAACATAATAATAATCTAATATAATATATTGTTAGGTTACGTTTCCTTTGAAAAGTAAACAAAACAGTTTCTAAATTATACACAATAAATATTTCGTAGGTGGGATTGAGACAACAAACACACATTCCTCAATTATAAATATAAAATCATACATTAATTGTACATAACATTTATGAATTTCCAATGTTTTGTCGGGATCTACTCTTGGGTCGAACTGTCACTATTTATATTTTACTCACCCTGTTACACGGGCGGATCTACGGGAGGGGGAGGCTTTTGGGCTGAAGCCCCCCCAAAATGGGAAAATATAACCATGTTTTATCGAAAAAAACATTAAAAAATTATCTCTCAAAGTACTATTGTTCGTGTAATTACATTCAAAAGGGCTTTAGGAATCACTTAAACACCATTTCATATAGGTAGTTAGTTTCTTTCTTTTTTTCCGAAGTAATTATTGTTATTTTTATGAAAAAAAAATCTTTCGGGCTGAAGCCCCCCCAAAATTAAATCCTGGATCCGCTAGTACCCTGTTATGCAGTGAATCCTCCTCTGTATTGTTGTATTCAACTTCTACAATCTTCTATTCTCCCTTATTGACACTCACTACTTGTTAGTCACATTTTCTTCTCTTGATCCTCTTTACTATCTGGATGGCTACATTCTTCCTTAACATAGTAATAAAATTAAAAAAATCTAAGGTGTGTGCTTTAGACCACATGATAGAAGTGATGACCACACGATACTTATGGGGTACCGTGTGCATATATATATATATATATATATATATATATATATATATAATTTTTTTTTATTTCTATTTTTCTTTTTTTTATATATTTTATTTCATGTTTTCAGGGATTTGGCAGTTTCTCTCCGAGAAAGATTGGGAGATTGGTTCAGGGTTATTCAGTTGATGAAAATGGGTAGTGGCGGTTCTGATTCACAACTACAATACGCATGGAACTCGATCGGAGATTTTTTTTCTGATAGAAATAATTGGTAAGAAAATTGAATAGGCATTGGCCCTTCATTATTATTTAATAATAAAAAAATAGATTGTAGTAAATTATTTTCACTAATTTTTTTTTTTTATACTCAAGGGAAAGTGCTAAAGATTATTACGAAAAATCTGGAAATATTGAGCGTATGATTAAGTGCTACCAACTTTTAGAAGATTATGATCAGTTGCAAAAGCTTGCTACTCAGCTTCCAGAAAAACATCAACTTCTTAAAGAAATTGCTGAAATATTTGTTTCTGTCGGAATGTGCTCTCAAGCTGTTTCAACTTATGTGAAGGTTTGTGTAGAAACACAGGGGGATTATAAAAACAGCATAATTTGAATGTCTTGAATGAATGTATGTTAAGTAAGGTATAATGTATGAAAGAATGAATGTATGTAAACTAAAGTAAAATGTATGAATGAATGTATGTAAAGTAAGGTTAAATGTATGAATAAATAAATGTTAAGTAAAGTAAAATTTATGAATGAAAAATTGTAAATAACAAGTTAAAAGTTAATTTTAAATGATTAGTTTTGGCGGGAAAGGGCGAATAGCCTTCCGCTTTTTATCGGGGAACTAGGTTATTTACACTCGTAAATTATTAAAACAAAACCCCGGCACTGGATATAGACTTTTTGAGGATGTTTATCTGTTGTTGGGAATTCGGGAATCTAATAACTTTTGTGACACTGAGTGAGAAGAAACAATAAGAATAAATATTTGAAATGTGGGACTGAGTAAACACACTTTGAATGAATTGACTAACCTGGTTTGTTATTCTTCAATCGTGAGGCCTATAGGACAACTAAATAAAAGGACTATTCACTCCTGTCTAAGAAAACAATTTATTTTAACAACTGATATAAGTGAATATATTAAAGTCTGATAACTGTAGGCTTGATATTCTTAGTCTTCAATGTAGTAAGCTTCTCTTCCCAGATGACGTCTTCTCGTCTTCGTGTCCAGGCCTAAAGTGACTGGCGTCCTCTTCCAGCTGCTGCTACCTGACCGGACCTTTTTCCTTCTTCATCGATTGTTTATCTATATAAGACTTTTCAATGAATTTGTCCACTGCACAATTGATACAATTCATCGTGCAACCTCACATTCCTATATATTATATATTCCTTCTCATTCCCTCACACAATGTCGTCTAAAGGAGTTAATACATACAGGGGGATGTCTACTACAAAATAGTCAGGATTAAGTATGTCGACGTTTTGACCCAATCACCATCGGGCTAAAAATAAAAAAAAATAAAAACTTACATTAAAGAAAGGAGATATAGAGAAAAGTATGTAAATAAGATAAGATAAAAAATGGAATGTATAAGTGAAAGATAACAGTAATATAAACATAACAATACACCAAGAAAATGATTTTTATAAATAAATAAAAAAATATATTTTAATTTAAAAAAAAAAACGAATACAGAAATTGGAAGATTTTATTCCCCCTGAGGAAATGTACTTCCTTATCTACTAAAATATTTTGGTAGATTGATAAGGAAATTGACATCTACGAATATTTAAACTTGGTGTAGTGGTTGGGTTCATTTCACTGCACATTATGGCTCCAGGCAAATATATTTCGTCCCTTGTATCGATCCATGTCAACATCCAAAAGAGTCTTGAGGTGTAATAGTAACCCAACTAATATATCAAGTTTAAATATTTGTAGATGTCAATTTCTCTATCAATCTATCAAGATGTTTCAGTAGATATCGAAGTACATTTCTTCAGAGTGGATACAATTTTTCAATTCTGTACTTGGCTTTTTTTTAATTACAATATTTTTTTTATTTTTACATTTTCAGTTTTTAAGTAATCGTTTCGGCAGTAAATATACTAAAATTGGAATGATACATAGCATGGCCCCTGTGCAAGGATGAAACACCGTGAAGAGACCCACATTTTTGGGGAGGCGTGTCCGAACGGGCTTATACGTGTGCACAGCACTATGTGTTGCCTAGTAACCTGATTACCGAAATTCAAGGAAGAAAAATAATTATGAGTTCAAATCCCGGTACCTGCTGGGACTTTTAACTCAGTATAATTCCCCTGCTCTCTCCCCTGGCCTAGGAAAAACTCTGTGTAGGACAAAAAAAAGGAAGGAGAGACAAAAAAAAAAAATATATCTGTTTTTTAAAATATTAACCATTGATACATATGATTATAGGATATTATCTCAAACCAATTAATAATCGAGATTCTTAAACTGTAATACATTTTTTTTTCAGTATTTTGAGTTCAAATTGTTTCAAATTATTCACGGGATCTAACTGTGTAATTACAGCCATCCAAGTTAAAAAAAATCATGTCATCCGCTCATAAAATCTTAACGTACCTTCTAGCCACAGGCGGATCTACGGGGGGGGGGGGAAGAGGGACTTTCGGGCTGAAGCCTCCCAAAATGGTAAAATGTAACCATGTTTTACAGAAAAAAATATTAAAAACTATCTCTTAAAGTATTCTTGTTCGTGTAATTATATTTAATAGAACTTCAAAAACCACTTAAACACCATTTCATATAGGTAATTAATTTATTTTATTTTTTTAAATTAATTATCTTTATATATATATGAAAAAAAAATCTTTCGGGCTGAAGCCCCCCCCCCCAAAATTAAATCCTGGATCCGCTAGTGCTTCTAGCAAATTGATTAAACACACTTTACACTGTAATTTGACAGAATTTTGAGCTAAAATTCTTTCAAAACACTCACGGGGTCTCACCAAATAATTTGAGCTGTCAAACTTGAAAATCAACCCAGCCGTTATATTTATATTTTATATATATTTTTATTTGTTTAAATATTAGTTTATATGCAAATTTTAATTTTTATATTGTTGTAATCTATACAATTAAATATTAAATAATACCAATGCATAGCGTAAATATAGCACATAGCATTTGATATCTGACCATATTCAAATTTATTTCTAAATAGTTGGAAAAATATATAATATGAAAAGTCAAATTTTCATTTCAAGCCCTGTTCTTAAGTATTTGAATTGGTTATTAACAATTAAGTATTTAATATAAATTTGTGAAATTTTAAATTTTTAAAAGAATAATTTAAACTTGATTTACTTCAATTTTTGTTTTTACCAAAATTAAATAAATTAATTAAATGTTTATATACAAGTACTGGATTTTTATAAGGGTTAATTTGATGCGAAGAATTTTCTTACAGTTATTAAAAAATGATACAATATCTTCAGTTTTATTGAATTTGTTTGATCTGTAATAATCTGTTGCGATAGTCCACTCAATTGATAATTGAAAATATATATCAAAAGTTCACCGATAAATTATTTAAATAAAAAGTAAACATGAATTGTGTTTAGATTATAATTTATAATATTATATAATTTATGTTGAATGAATTATCTGATTCTTATATTTCCTTTGTTAGAGGAGCTAAGAAGTTTTTTCCAAAATGAATTGTTTTTAATTTAAGTTTTAAATAAACTTCTATAAAAGCTTTAATTGAAAAGTTCTAATGCACCAATCCATGAGAAAAAGTTATAATTTTGAAATAACAGAAAACTATTTTAAAATAAAAGTTTACTTATCTCATACATAATACATCTCATACTCTCCTCACAAGTATTTGAATTGCTTATTTTCTAATAAGTATATAATATAAATTAGTAAAATTTTAAATTTATTTATTAAAAAAATAATTTTACTTAATCTAATTCAATTTTGTTTTTTACTGAAATTCAATAAATAATTAAAATATTTATATACAAGTACTGGATTTGTATAAGGATTAATTTGATGAAAAATATTTTCTTACAATATCTTCAGTTTTATTGAAGTTGTTTGATCAATAATCAGCTGTTGCTATAGTCCACTCAGTTATGGATTATGTAGCATGTTGATTGTTTGAGAAGTTTTTTTTTTCATATTTTGAATAGTAAATATCATTTTAAATAGTTTTTATAAATTGCAGTTTGGATCTGTCGAGTCAGCAGTTGAAGCTTGCGTTAGTTTGAACCAATGGGACCAAGCTGTTACTCTCGCTGAAACTTATTCTATGCTGCCAGAGATCGGAACTTTATTAGACAAATATGCCTTAGGCCTTCTCGAAAGAGACAGACATCTGGAGGCGATTCAGCTATATCGGAAAGCCAACAGATTTCTAGAAGCTGCAAAATTAATGTTTCAGGTATAGGCTGTAATAAATATCATATTGCTTATACTACTGGCCTTTAATCTGTTTAAAACATTTATTATTCAATTTTTCTTAAAGCTTGCTGAAAATGAAGCCAAGAGGAATATATATCCTATTAGAACGAAGAAACTGTATGTTCTTGCCGCACTTCTGGTTGAGGAGCAAATAAAAATGAAGAAAGTTTCAACAGGTCTGAATGCATATCAGTATTAATTAAAATAAGTGTGATACAGTTTAATTCAATTCAATTCAAGTTGAATTTGTACATTTTTACTGTACAGAAGTCTGTAAATAAAATGGTGATTTATTCAGGTTTTTTACCATACGACAGACTCTTTCTTTATATTTATTAATTTTACATCTTATATCTAAAGAAGCCTTCAGTATCCAGCATCATATTTACCTCTATAAAATCCAAATACAATATGAATTATAAGATTAACATTTACACTTAGTAACTTTGACTTACCTATATACATAATATATAGTGAGGTAAAATATTGTGATCGTGAAAATTTTTGAATCTGAGTTTTCAACTGAAATACCCAGCTCAAAAATGAAAAGTCATACGAAATTGCAATTGCATATTTAAGCTTTGTATATGGCTTGGATATGAAAGCAACTTTTTCATTAAAATCAGCTAACCAGAAGTGCCTCTTTATATCATCGATTTTAGAAATTTTTACAATTTTCTTGAAAACGGCTCTACTAACAATTTTGATTAAATTCATTACATCAGTGCAAGATAAAACATTTTTTCAATATTATGTAGGTCTTATTCTCATGGATGTTATTTATCAGATCCTAATTATCAATTTTTTTCCCCTCTAAAGTACCTTTAATTTTTTTAAATTAAAAATGAATAATCATTTCGCATTGGAATATAATATAAAAAATGGTTAAATATGAAATATGAACAAATTTGATAATTAACTAATGGATAAGTAACCTAATATAATAATAGAGAGCCAACGAAACTGAGTGCAAAGCCAAGCTTGGCCGAAGGCGAGAATAGGCTTCTATACATTATGTGGGGTTTTCATAAAGTGTTGATATTATTTAATGTTTCATTGTTGATATATTTAAGTAAGTAAAAATACCTACAATATTTTGTTGCACTTGATTATTTATTCAATATACAATCGTCAAAGGCAATGATTAGTGAAAGAAGTACAAGTATAATAATTTAGGCGGTTGTGAAAAATATATGGTAATTGATTGTTTCAAAAAATATTTTTTACCATCTGTAATTTTTAATTTCTCTTTCCTTTGTATGGAAATACCTATTTCTCCTGAAAGGGTGGTAAGTGAAAGTTGTCTGATGCGCGCACTTCACAAGATTTTTTAAATTGTCATGCTAACAAACACCATCTTTTTAATCCTAATTATATCTATTTAAAAAAAAAATTCAGTAATTTGAAAAATGTTCTTTGTCTGATTGCATTCTATGCAAAATTGTTTTTAAGTTAAAATTAACAAGTTATAATATGTTATTGTTAATAGAGGAAGGAGATGGTCTGGGGTGGTGGTCATAAATTATATAGACTAAAATAATAGCCGAACTATTTTATTTCAAGCCAATGTTTCGATCCGACTTTGCGGGTCTTCTTCAGAGCTAGAGCGGACAAGATACAAAAGTGTATATAAAATTGTGGAAGTTACATAATATTTAGATAAAAATTATAAACAATGTAAATAAATTTATGGAAATTATAAACAGTAAGTACATTGAGATATTAAGAAATTTAAACTATATAAACAGAGTAAACTAAGTGACAGGATCCTAAACTGAAGTAAATAAATGGTAACAATTGTTGTAGGATAATATATAATATAATATATGCAATTATGAATATATTCTTATAGATCTCAAAGAGAGATTGGAAGAAAAGGATAAAGAATATGAAATAATGGACATAAAGGGATATGAAGAAAGAAAAGAAAAACAAAAAATAAATAAATAAATACAATAAAAAAAATGGAGACTTCAGGTGTGTTCAGCAATGGAAGTTTTAGTTACAACTGGAAAAACTTGCGTAGAGAACTCTTGGGAAAATTTTTTGACCTGGTTGGGGAATGTTGAGGGGGTAAGTAGTGTAAGCAAAATAGAACTTGGAATATTACAGTTTCCAAAATTTAAAGATATTGATGGATACAAGATCATATCCCTTTATGTTCATTATTTCATATTATTTATCCTTTTCTTTCAATCTCTTCTTGAGATCTGTAGGAGTATATTCATAATTGCATATATTATATATTATACTACAACAATTGTTACCATTTATTTACTTCAGTTTAGGATTTCGTTACTTAGTTTACTCTGTTTATATAGTTTAAATTTCTTAATATCTCAATGTACTTACTGTTTATAATTTCCATAAGTTTATTCAATCTGTTAATAATTTGTATGTAAATATTGTGTAACTTCCACAATATTCTATATCATTTTGTATCATGTCCGTTCTAGCCCTGGAGAAGACCTGCACAGTCGAGTCGAAACGTTGGCTTGAAATAAAATAGTTTTGTCACTATTTAGCCTATTTATGACCGCCACCCCAGACCATCTCCTTCCTCTAAAATACAACGGCCAACTGTTAAGTAGTTGTTATAGTTAATAATATATAATTAATTATAATAAAATATAATAGAAATGTAATTATTTTACTGACTATGTCTTCGAAAGGTGTATTATCTCTTTATTGAACACCATCTTACTCAGTTCTGAATAGTGGCTATTGACGCCATCTATATTATGGAAACTGATTGCAACCAAAATTACCTGACAAGATGAAGAGAGTTGTCACAGTTCTTCAGAGGGATGTATGGTTCTCTCCTTAATCTGGGTTATATATAATGTATTATTCACATTTCAAATGTTGTCATAATTTTATTTATATTACTTTCACTTACCTATATATTGAATGACCCGATTGATGCCATTTTATGCCTAATCTTCATATACTTCTTCCTCTAATGTACCTTTAATATGGTTTATTTTAAATAATTACCTATCTCAAATCATTAAGAATAACGAAAGAAAATTCTAAATATAACTTTTGAAAGAATTTGATAATTGAATAAAGGAGAAACAAATAAAAATGTCGATCCAGGTCGAAAATGAATCTCTGGAAATACTAGTTATAAGGTATACCTGTAGTGTATCGTTGGAAAGTGGAGAATTTTAGGAAAAACAATATCTAATATTGAAAATTGTTGAAGGTAACAGAGAGTGGCGAAAAAAATATAAATAATAATTTTTGAAAACTAATATTATTTAACATAAATCATATGTTTCCAAGGAAATTAAATGAAATTTTCTTACTAAATGTAAACTTTTAAATTTTTTTCTAAGTTTGAGAAAAAAGTATTTAAAATCCACCGAATTAAGCCAATGCCATTGTTTAAAATACTATTTCATTGTACTTGTGAGAAAGAAATTGTGAAATATAAAAATATTTCATGGATATGTTTATAACCTCAAATACATTTGGAGTAACTACAGATGGAGTAACTAGATTTATAATGCCTACCAACGATATAATAAATAGACTTTTTGTAATTATAATGGTCTTAATGATTTGTTATCTGTAAGCTTTAAGCTTTAGCTCCATTTAAAAAATTTTATTATAGCCCAACAATGCCAGAAAATAATTTCTATTCAAAGTAGAGCGCTAAGTGAAAGTTGTGTGTTGTGCGTACCAGATTTTTTTAAGTTAATTTAATAATAATTTAATGGATGTAATTAAAAATATGTATACACTATTTTAGGAGAGAAAAGAGATTCTTTAATTAGAGAACTGCACGAAGAAAACGTGACTGATTTTAAGATCACTGATAACCCTTGGCGAGGAGCAGAGGCTTATCATTTCTTAATGCTGGCTCAGAGGCAATTGTTTGAAGGTATTTATTTACATAAGTTTGTTTTTATTTTTAAAAAAAGTTAATGTGCTTATAATATTCTAAAATAGACAATCGATTGAGTAGATTGCTAAAAAGTTACTATTTTGCTGGTACTGCCTTCCGCAGAGAATTCCATTCATTGCCATTTTTTACTGCCAACCGTTGACGTATGTGTATTTTGCTGAAACTGGCTGCCAATTCTCCCATTAAACATCCTAATTTAAATATTTTAAAATGAAAACTTGCCGTTAGTGTCAGGTTATTCTTGGGCTATTAACGCGGTCCAGGGGGCATCAGAGTCACTTTCTCTGAGCTCACCTGGATAACTCTCAGCAGATGGGTCTTATTTCCAGGGTGGTAACATTACATGTCCTGTAATAGCTAAGTCCTGCTGGAGACCCAGTGGTGGGGCATAAGCCCCAACCTTTCTTCCCCCCTTTCTTCTGAAGGTGATACAAATATTCGGAAGACCAGTTGTCCCGAGGATACGGGGCTAATACCCCACTGGGCTAATAACCCGCATCGTAGTAAACTTCATTCAAAGTAAATATACTAGCCTCGGATATTGACAGACCTCAAGAGAAACGACCTGAAGCTCATAAGGACTTACGATTTGGTACCTGGAACATAAAGACTGACAGGGAAAGAGGTTGTGCTTGTTGAATAAATGAAGACTTATAAGGTGGATTTATTCGGCATTAGTGAGGTAAGGAAGAAAGGAAGTGGTGAACTAAAGCTAGAGAGTGAATATACCCTTATATATGCTGAACTCCCTCATGGAACTTTCACGAATGGAGGAGTAGATATAGCCACGAACCCGAAAATATATTACCAACTAGAAAACTGAGAGCCTGTCTCATCAAGAATCATTGCAGCAGAGTTTTCTTTGGCCCTCGGTAAGGTTACTTTGCTGCAAATGTACCTTTCACTATTTGTTAAGATTGCTAACCTAATCGTTTTCATTTCAGCATTTTAGGTACTTGTGAGCTTCTATGGACTGCTATCTGCAGTTATCTTGTTATTTAAAGTGTTGTTGTTGTTATTTATATTTCTTATTATTAAATTACTATATTATTATTATATTTATATTTCTTATTAATATATATATGTATGTACTTATATTATATGTAACATTTGTATATAAATATATATTATTTTTTGAGTCCAAGATGCCCAGTCACGTTTGCTAAGAACTGTTTGTTTTTTGGTCAGTTTTTCAATGTATAAGATTCTAAGTCTTTGAGCAGTATTTAATTTATTACTAATATTGAATGCCCTCTGCTATATGTGTATCATCTTTTATTTTCTCCTAATCTACAGATTAGGATATAGATTATATAACACTTTTATAATGTTTACAATACTGTTATTGTATTCATTTGAACACATTAAGGTACAGATGTAAATCATTTATAGTAAATATTTATCTGATCTTTTATTATTATTTTTTTCATTAATTCAATGGTATGACAACACAAGCAATTTATCGTTCATTTCAAATTTCATTTAATATTCCTTGATTTATTGTTTTTAGCAACTATTTCGCAGTATTGTGACCATATCGCTCATATTATTTCTTTAATATATCTGTATAGTTATGTAAATACTTCTGCTATTACTTAGTTTTTAGTTATTTTTTTATTATAATATGTATTTTGGCCAGATGGTATGTTAATTTTTATGTACAAAATTGTTATTCTTAAGGGACTTTGTCCCAGAATAAAGTCGATTCTTCTCTTCTATTCTTCTCTCTCTATATATATGTTTTTGTTTTGTTCTTTTTTTTCCTATATTTTTATTTTTGGTACTAGTTCACAAGAGTTCCGCACGGATTACGCGTGGTTCACAATCACTTCGATCACACTTGTTCATGGAATCCCGAAAACAGCCGAATGTTGTCCTCTTTTATGACGTCAGCTATTGCCCCATAATACAATCCCTTTTCATGCATTTTTGAAAAAAAATACAACGTATTCCCTTTATGGAACTTCCTTATTAAAAAATTGTGTATTTACTAATTAGTTAATTATTAGTTTTTATTATAACGGTTATTACTTTGAAAGAAAAAGAAAAAAATACATAAATAATGTTTGAGTAGTTTCTTCAAGCCCTATTAAAAAAAAAAGCTTTTAGTAATAACATTTTTATTGATACGTGCTTACATATAGTGGCTGTAAATACGCATATACTGTATATTATCTTTTATAACTGTGTATAAATGTATAATAAAAAGATTTTTTTATCATTTGGATAATAAATAATTTTAAGTTATCTATTATCTTTTTTTTGTTATTCGAGTTTTTCAATAGAAGTTGGAATAATTGAATTTATAATTTATTTTAGCAAGCCTTTTTTAGAATTGCGCAATCATCTATCTAGTTTATGTATTTTTTTAGATTTCTAATAATACGAGGGGCTATTTTCTAGTGGAGGGGGGCGCATTGTATGCATATACTGTCTGATTTGTAATTATTGTTATTCGCATTTATTTTTCTTGGTAATCCGAAAAAAGGGATTATTGTAAAATATGGTACAAAAAAAAGTATTTATTTTCGAGAAAGGAATTAACGTATTTGGGAAACAACTGACGAAGAATATGTAATAATTCCAAGATAATGAATATTGGAAATCATCTATAAGAAAAATAATATCGTGAAATAGCAGCCAGAGATGTAATAATTAAAGATTTATGTATTACTATTTCTTTTTCACAGATCTATAATATATGTACAAGCTCAATTCAGGTTTCATGATGTGTAGCCTAAATTTCGAATGTAAATCTGCTCCTGCTATATAACTTAACGTGGTTAAGGAACTCTTGTGAACTAGTACCCTTTCTTCTAAAGGGACAACAGTCTCCAGGATAATAAAAATATTTTCATTTCATTAAAAAAATAAAAGGTTGAAAGGAACTAATAAATTTATTAATATTTTTATTTAATAGGGAATTCAAATGCAGCTGTTATGACAAGTATCCATCTCCGACGTTATGAAGATATTCTTCCTTCTGAAACTGTTTATTGCATTATTGCTCTTGCTGCTATTATGGCTAAAGCATATGCTACAGCATCCAAAGCATTCATGAAATTGGAAAGTCTCCCAACGGTAAACTTATTTATTTATTTAAATCCATCTGTGGGGATTGTATGCAATGACATCTGGTCATTCATTTTAGTTTATATATATATTTATTTATTTTATTAAAGTTAAAACTTCTTTATACACCTTTAGCGCTTTTTTTCATGAAGACCCCTACACGTTCAATCATTACTGACCGTTTTAGCTCAGTTGACATTGAGATAACAGGCGGCATCTGGTGGATTGTCCACTTATAATAATGTGTTTAATTTAAAAAGCTTATTTGGACATTGTCCTTTATAGTATTGGACATCAAGAGAAAAATGGAGTTATAATAATTACTTCCCATTGCCTGAAAATCGTTTCGAGCAAAGTTAGAAAAATATAAGTAAACTGCTTACAAAAATTTAGGGAAAGTATTGCGAAAATAATCAATTTATTAAGAATGGAAAAATGAATGACAAATAAACACAACAGTTAAAGATTTTTTTCTTTAAGTAAATTGAGAAGTTTCCACTTTTTTAATTTATTGCCCACTTGACTAGTTAAAAAAAATAGTTGAAGATGGTTTATAAAATATAAACAAGGGATATGAAAAACTATTTAACTATTTACTTTTAATGAAAATCAGAAATTTATAACAGTTCTGAGGGCTAGGTAAACTAACCTATCTAGTAGTATGGTTAGTCTCCCCACTACTTTTACCTCAGTCCCCCCTCCACTTTTCGTGAATGAACCTCTGATTTCCGGATTTTAGGAAATCCGCCAGATACGTCCATCAGTACTTCATTCACTACCTTACACGATCATTCGAAACGTCATTAGTGCCTTGGAATGCAATTCCGAATGACCATGTAGGGTCTCCTATAAAGTATCTTGCTGAATTCCATCCATGGTTTCCATCAACGATTTTTGGAACAGCCTGATGGATTTCTGATGCCATCAATGAGTTCAGCAATGAATACTTGCTCTTATCTCCATTATTATAAAATAATCTTGATATTTTTATGTGATGATTAAATATTTTTGTCTTTTTTAGATCACAGAAACTAAACAAGAAGAATATGCTGATTTAGCTGTGCTTATATTTACAAAACACCCACCAAGTGACCCAAAAGGATTATTTTTGTCTTGCTCTACCTGTAAATCTCCAGTTCCTACTTGGTTTGTATTTTATATTAATATGAATCATATGTATGGTTTATCTTAGTATTCATCAGAATCACTATCGATGTTAACAGGTTTAATTTTTTTTTTCTAAAGATTACGGAAAGCATTTTTGCTGAAATGTTCATGAAATGTCAGAATATCTCATGATTATGAGTCTTGCTTTGACATATTTAAATAAATAATCATAGCTTAAGATAGCTATCCTTGGGAGTAACAAGAGGACATTGAGAACTCGCTAAGACTCTGATAAGAGAGGCAGAGTAAATCGGCCTACAAATAAATGAAGACAAAACAAAACATATGATAATAAGACGAAATTCCACCTCATTAACAGGATCTGCGTAGAGGGAAATCATTCCTGAGGGTAGAAAAATTTAAATACCTCGGCTTCACAATAAACTCAATGAATGACAAACTGGCAGAAATAGACCAGTGTATAACTAGCGCAAACAGAGTTTTCTTCTCCTTTTCAAAGGTATTGAAATCTCAAAAAATCTCAAATTAAGGGTGTACAATGCTATGGTAAAGCCAGTTTTAATATATTACTGTGAGACCTGGACACTAACCAGCACCCAAGAAAAAAGTATTGAAAGATTTGAGAGAAAAATCCTCCGCACGATAACCAGAGCAATCTTGAATCAGAGTACTAACACATGCAGAAGAAAGACCAATAAAGAACTGCTTACAGAAACTGGTCAATCAATATCCCATGATATGAAGGCACAGAGGTTAAGATTGGCGGGGCATGTAGCTCCTAGCAATTCATCTGGAAGCCTCTATATAACAATAAATATTTCAATAGAAGTTAAAAGACCATGTGGAAGGCCAAAAAGTAGATGGATAGATAGAATCCACAAAGATGCAATAGAGCTACGTGCAGATAACTAGAAAGGAATAGCTCAAGACAGGCAGAGATGGAAGAGGCTTGTTAAGGCTGCAAAAGATGTACATAGCCTGTGTTACCTAAAAAATGATGGCTTAATTTTGGGATTTGATGAAAAATTAATGAAGATATGGTGTAATGACAAAATAATAGCTCTGATAAGTAATATAAAATCCTCCTCTCTCAATCATAGGGAGCTCAAGTCGATGACATGAAACATTTATGGGTGATTCTCATGTTAGGGGCAAGTTTTAGTCCATTACTACTTTTATTAAGTCTAACTTCATTTTTTTTTCCACTGCTATACGGTGAAGAAGTTTTTCTTCATAATGAAATATTAAAAATTAAAATATCAAAGAATAATGTGATTTTATAATTACGTAAACTACTAAAATATCATTACCACCTATTGTCCCACTCTCAGTTTTATAGTAAATGTTTATTTATTTTCACTCCTAAAGAATAATTAAGGCATTTGGAATTATAAATATTTTTTACTTTTGATAACAGTGAAGTATGTTTATGTATTTTCGAACATTGTCCCATCACTTTGATGTCATTACTAAGCAAAAACATAAGATCAGATATTGAAGCGTTAAAAAGAGGGAACAGTGGTAAAATTTCTTCAGAGTGTACTACTAACCATGGAGTTAGAGGACAGCCACCAGCGGATAGACCGACCAGTTGGGGAGCTTCCCTCTACGCATCTGTTTCTTGTATGGAGAGCCTGTACTTTTATTGTTCTCATTACCACCACATATATTATCTCACTACCTGTTCAAATTATTTCATTCGATATAATTTATGTTTGACTATGGTTTGTAGCAAGTCAGTTGGAAAAAACAAAAATTTTAGTACTAGTTACACACTGGTTTTAGCGGAATAAAATATGTGAAAATGTCATCACCAAGTTGAAAACTCGTGACATTCCCCATCCGAATGATTAGCTTTACTTACTTTAAATACTGAGAAAAAAACACTTGATCTTCGCCATTTGCTCAGATTAACAGCTGAGCGGCAATAGAAGATGAGATATTTAGAAAATTGTTTTTAAATGCCGTAAAAATTATTAAAATTTTATCATGAAAATTGCCCGTAATCAGAGAATCACCTATATCTCATGGCAGCACGACAATTAAAGTGAGGTTGTGTGGCTGCAGACCTATATCTTGCATTACTTCGAAAATGGACTCTTGGTCTCCATATCAAAATCTTCAAATCCCAATTTGTCTTGTATCGTACTTACCAGCGTTCCAGTGTTGAAGCCTAGTGAAATGTTTATATTGACATTATTTATTTTAGAAAGAAAAACAAAATTGAAGAGTACGATTCGCTCACCCACTATGAAATTCTGAATCCAACGGTACCCCATTCATGGTATTTGAGCATGACAGGAGCTTATATTTGGTACAAAACCGATTTCAAGCCTTACTGTAATAATATAAACTAACTTCCTGGCTCTACAGGCCAGCATGACCCTTGGCATCTTTATTTATTTTTCTCCATTTCTCTCTGTCCTGTGCTACTCTCTTCCAATTGCGAACTCCTAGCTTCTTCGCATCTCTCTCCACTCCATCCTTCCATCTACTTCTCGGTCTTCTTCTTTTCCTCTTCCCACTGAAGTGTGCTTCCAATATTTTTCTCTTGCTGTACCCGTTCATTCTCCATTCTGACCACATGTCCTGCCCATCTAAGCCTACTTGGCTTGATATTGTTATTAATGTTTTGATTCTCTAATATAGCTTCAATTTCATTGTTACTTTTGGTTTTCCACTCACCATTAACACCTGTAGCACTGTAAATCCTTCTTATTATTTTCCTTTCAAATACTTTTAGTTTACCCCAATCCTTTTGTGATAAACACCGGGTTTCCTCTCCATAGGTGATAACTGGTCTAATAAGCGTTTTATACAGCTTTAAATTTGAGAAGTTTTAGTTTGCACAGTAGGCTCTATTACCACCCATTATTCTGTTGTTTATACTGTAATAATATATGTGGGGGTTATTTAATATTAGTTTTTGATATTTTCTGAACATTTTTACTGATGTAGAGAGTTTAGTAGTTTATCCTCTTCAATTATATTAGAACTATTTTTTAAGATTTCAAAAGACTATTTTTGTTATTTTCAGGTCAGGCCTGTGTGAAGGTTGCGATAGCAGATATCCAGTGTGTATCGTGACTGGGCGGCCATTACTGAATCTTGAATCCTCAGCGTGGACTTGTCATTCTTGTTCTCATAGTTCTTCATTTTCTGACATCGGAATAAAACAGTTCTGTCCCCTATGTCATTCACATGTTAGGCGTTAAATGACAAATGTAATTTTTTTTTTTTTTTATTAGTGTGTTGAAGATTGACAGCACGATAAATAAAGAAGGAGGTTAGAGGTTGAATGTTCAGGAGTTTGAAAGAAAAACATCAAATAGGGTAAAACCCCCAGTTTTAGGCACCCTTAAGGAAACTTTAAAACAGAGTGTCTTCGTTCTTAATGGCCAAACTCTAGTGCGTGATTCTCGACAAAATTTCCAACAAAAAAGTTCATTTGATGAATCCGAACAGAAAAGGAGGTAAGACTTTTATGTTTTTCTTAAGCTGGCCATGTTTTTTATTGAATAAGAAGGAATTGCTCAAAAACTGCTCAAGATAATTAAATTCTAAGTAAATTCTAACACCATCATAAAATAGTTATTTACTTTAAAAATTATTATTGAATGTATCAATTATAAGAAGAATAAACATGATCTACATTTTATGATGGATTTAAGAATGAAGTACAGCTTTATCAATTCTCACATTGATGTTCTGGTGGAAATAATACTTCCATCTGAAAAAATATGATAATTTCTGTTACAGTGTTTGAATTTCTGACTTTTGTTGAATATAACTTTATTTAAATGATTTTCATTTTCCTCTGTTGCATTTATTAGTTGAAACTACGAAAATTTTTATTTGAAATTAATTAATTTAAGATTTTTTAAAGAAAATTTAGTGTAATAAGTATCATTTTGATTAATAAATGAGCGTTATAGTTGACAGAGTCACATAATCCAATGTCAACATTTTTTATTATTAATTTTAGTGATATTTCTAGTGGGAAGATTTATACCTTTATTTATAATTCTATATCCTGTATTCGTTCCCGCAATACTCGTACCCTGTCTTCTGATTTATACATAAGGGCCCACCGAACAGCTGCTTTCGACAAGCGTTATAGTTGACAGAGTCACATAATCCAATGTCAACATTTTTTATTATTAATTTTAGTGATATTTCTAGTGGGAAGATTTATACCTTTATTTATAATTCTATATCCTGTATTCGTTCCCGCTATACTCGTACCCTGTCTTCTGATTTATACATAAGGGCCCACCGAACAGCTGCTTTCGACAAATCGTTTATTATCCGATCTTCATCCCTACAGAACTCCATCCCTTCCCACATCCGTCAATCCAATACCCTTCCTACCTTTAAATCCCGCCTGTTCAATCATTTCTTATCCATCCAGTTCCCATAAAATTGTAAATAGATACTACTGTAAATATGTACATAAATTATTAGTTCGCTCTTCATTATTTTTACTCCAATTTTTTTTATTATTAACTGATCAAAATTAGAAAGTAACTTGAATAGTAAAGACTATTCAATTACTCTGTATTTTTATTTATGTATCTCTGAGGCTCCTTAGTACACATTTCTGTCTTGCTATATTATTCTAAAGGGACTCATCCCAGAATAAATAAAGTATTATTATTATTATATTTCAACTTTCCAATCACCTACTCTGGAATCAACTTACTCACTGCCTGTACAGATTTTATGAATTTTCCAACAAGAAATATCACGAAAATGACTTTTTAGTGAAATTTACTAAGGTCAATGTTAAAAGGGACTTTCACGAGGTCTAATAATGCAAAGCGTACCATTATGCCGAATTTTTTCACGATTTAGGATTACAGAGATATGCTGCTTGTGTTTGGTACTGTAACTGCAGCAGTACTGCGGCTGTATTAGACCTCCTCAAAGTCCCTTTTATCATTGACCTTAGTAAATTTAATCACTGTTTTCTCAAAGAAAATTTTGTCCACTTTACCAATGGTATACTTAGAATTTAATTATCTTGAACAGTTTTTTGGAAAACACAAAATTGATCTTAAATCCTTTTCCGTTCGGAATCGCCCCATGCATCCAATAAACTTTTTTGTTGATGATTTTGTCTACTCAATCACTCACCAGAGTTTGACGATTAAGAACTAAGACACCCTTTATAGGAATAAACATGTTTCATTGATTTTACCTTTTAAGTCCAATGTGAAACAGTGTCGTTCATTTATTTTTATATAGTAGAATGGAAAAATATCTGTATGCACCAATTTTTGAGGTACTAGTTTTGTTTCGCTACTCTTTCGGCCATGTTGGTTGCTGACAGGTCAAATATAATTTTCATATGAGAAGGAGTTAGTCGAGGGTGCGGTCAAATAAATAAAAAAATTAAAATATATAAATAATTTTAATTTTTGCCGACGTTTCGACCCACTTTGCAGGTCGTCTTCAGGGCTACAAAAGATACAAACATGTTGAAAAAATAAAAATAAAATAAAAAATAAATATAAGTATATATAAATTACGAAGAAGTTGTCAGATACAGAAATAAAAGATAAAGAAAATAAATACATGATAAGAAAATAGATAAAAGAAAATAAATACATGAATGTCAAAGAATAAATTCGTCAACATTCATGTATTTATTTTCTTTTATCTATTTTCTTATCATGTATTTATTTTCTTTATCTTTTATTTCTGTATCTGACAACTTCTTCGTAATTTATATATACTTATATTTATTTTTTATTTTATTTTTATTTTTTCAACATGTTTGTATCTTTTGTAGCCCTGAAGACGACCTGCAAAGTGGGTCGAAACGTCGGCAAAAATTAAAATTATTTATATATTTTAATTTTTTTATTTATTTGACCGCACCCTCGACTAACTCCTTCTCATATCATATCAACGGTCAACCATCTCTACATCATTATAATTTTCATATTTACTTAAAATGAAGGTGAGGTGGAGGGGACAAGACTACCCCTCCGCAATAGTGGCGCCGTCTGGTTCTATTGTTGTAAACGTTATCTAAAACATTGTAGATAACCTGTCATCAACCAACATGGCCGAAAGAGTAGCGAAACGGAACTAGTACCCGAAATACAATGATAGTGTGCAGGAATTTGTGTTTTTTTGCCAAAAGCGTAAGATACATCCTTATTGAACAGCACCTGTTGAGTTTCTAATCTTCAGCAATTTTTTCGACCTATAAAATTAAATAAATAGTGGGAGATGCTAGAATATGTGAGCATAGAAGGATGTTATTGTGAATACTTCAATTGAAGAATACTTCAATAACTGCAATAGGTGCTGAAAACTGGGGGTTTTACCCTACGTACTATTTATTCATTCAATGATAATGTTTTGGTCCAAATTGTAGGTCTCAATCAGGGCTGAAGTATGGAGAAATGTAGCTGTCAACAGAATAGTCGCAAGTGCCTGGCAGACCAAGAAAAGGAACGGTTTTTCGTTGAAAAAAGATTACTAGTTGGCTAATTAATTTGCGAATTTTCTTTTTCTCTGATGGATCCAAATCAATTGGCCAAAATTTAAGTTGGTATACTTTAATATGTTTATTTACTCTCACTTATTATACCTCTATATCTCACTACAGTTTGCATTTGTTGTTGAAACTATATGTGGAAAAGTGAAAATTACAACTGTCATTTTTATTGTTATGGTTTTCATCATTTTCTTTGTTTTCCAAGGCTCTTGCAACAATTTAGTTGACAGCTATTTGTCCTGTGATTATTTGATGTTTTTCCTGATCGACTCCTGTACCATCTTCTTTATTTATCAAAAATGTATTTATATTTTTGATCCATATATCAAATTACTGCATAGTATTATCACATATACATTTCAATGATTTTTAGTGAGTGATTTAAGCTTGAAATGAGTAGGAATAGAAAAAAAGAGGACCAAATTATATGTTATGAATTAATTTTTTTTTTTACTGCACAGTATTAAAAAAAAAAATTCTATGCAATTGTTTTCATACTTATAGGGGCTTTATTATGACAAAGCACATATTGAGAAAACTAAAATGAGTTTTCAATAAAATCAAGATTTTATGATGCGTACACAGTATTAAAATTTTATAATTTATTTGAAAATGAGAGCTTTAAGTTAGTATATGCACCTAGATTTTTCTATCCCAGAGGTAATGAACACTATGTCCATTTTTGTATTTGTTCAGGAAAGCCAATTTTCCATAATTTTGAGCTATTAAAATTTGTTTCTTAGTTACAAAATTATTTAATAAAAAAATGGACATGGTATCTTTTACCTCCAGGATACAGATTTAAATTTATGCATTAAATGTTGTAGATTCAGATAAATTAAATGACAGATTTTTTAGATTTAAGTGACAAATTTTCTGTATTTATTATGACGTAAAAAAAAAAAAAATGAAAGTTTTTATGGTCTAGGTTAGTAATTTTAATTTATATTTTTTATATTTATTTTCTCAGCATCGCATCTTTTTCCATGGGTACATTTATTTATTATTTATCAAATAACTTAGTAGAGAAAGGCCTTTTCAGCCTCGATAAATAATTACTTCATTTAAAATTTATCCAAATTTTCGCCTCTTCAGGGATTACCTGATTTTAGTTATAATTTAAATCAGATTAATTTTGAAGAAGCGAAAATTTGAAATAAAATAATTATTTATTGAGACTGAAAAGGCCTTATATTTATTATATTCTCCTTCCCAAGATCATCTTTGATGGATAATTTATTGTTTACCTTCAAAGCAAGTTAAATTATTCATTTGTTTTTGTTTGCCAATCATTCATTGAGATAAGGATATATTTGTTATAGATTTTATATCAAAGAGACTTATTTTAATTTATTTATTCTATTCTTTATATTAAAAAAAAAATCTTCATTGCTTTGTGAATATTTGTTTACATCCATTGAAGGGTCAGTCTTTGTAGGTTCTTTTAATTCACAGGAGATCTTCTTATTTTAATATGTATCTTTTACACTCACATATCCGAGCAGCATATCTCTGTAGTCCCGATTGATTCATGAAATTATTATTATATCAGGAGGTCTAATCTCCTGAAAGTCCCTTTTATGGTTAATCATTCTAAATTTAATGACTGTTTTTTCATGAAAAAAAAAAAATGTCTACTTTTTGTTGGTGTACTTAGAATTTAATTATCTTGAACAGTTTTTGAACAATACCTTCTTATTGAATTCCACCAAAAGTATTTTACTGAGAAATTCAAATATACCTAGATCCAAATGACATTAAATAATCCAAAAAAAAATTAACTTAAGGCAAATATTTAAATACAGGCATTGAAGAATCAATTTGTATTTTTTTTACTGATTACCTATTGATAAAACGGTAATATATTTCCTGCTGTGATTTCATTACAAATATATGATATTTATTACTAATCAATTATGTAATAATTACTGTTACTTATCAAACTAATAATTAGTAATAAATTTAGGATAAATCCTCAGTTCTTAAAGTAATGCTTTATTGTCTTATTAATACTATGAATACTTATATTTTATATTCAAAACATTAAGTAGGAATTGATATGTGGATAAGTGTTAACATTTCTTAGTACAGAACGTGGCCAGTGCCAGCAAAATATTACCTTTAGTTTGGTATGAATATTTTAATGAGATTGATAATTGATACAATCAATTTTAGTGAATTCAAATGAAAATACACTGAAGATGGTTGTAACGTAAACTTTTTTTAAATTATAAAGCTCAAAATTCTGTTTATTTAAAGTGTAGTGGAAGTTATATAGAATGTTACTAAGTAAAAAATCTGATTTTCCAATAATGTAATATAGACTATTATTTGGCCTAACCTTTAATTGTAATTTATTTTAGTAGAAAAATGAAAATTGTTAATGAGTTTGATTCGCATTTTTTTGTGGTGGAAATCATGGTTGTTATGATATTGATACTATTATTAAAATTTTATATCCAAAATATTTACAATCCTGATTCAATTTTATATGATATAATGGTTTGTATTTAGATACTTTTTAATTTTTATTGGTATTGAACATTTGTAAGCTTAAAATTAGTATTATGTTGTATATCTTAAATACAATTATTTTTTACGATCTCAGCTTAGTTAATGTTTAGATTAATTAACTAAAACATATTTATATTTTTTGTTCTCTATAGATTTGTTAGAGTTTGTTGTCAAATGTAATTATGTTTAAAACTATCAAGAAATATTTTTAAGAACCTTAATAGTGGCATATGCTTAGTGTTTTTTCCTATGTTTTCACACTTTTACTTTCTATTTTTCGGAAAGAAAAAATTAAACTAAATATACTATACTATTTTACTACATATTATATTAAGGAACAAAAATAGATATGGCTATTTAATTTGTTATGAAGATTATAAATGATATGATATCAAAATGAGGCAAATTGTACTTAATTAAGTTATTTCTGTGGTTAATTTATTTTTGCAATGTTAATATTTTCAATGAATGAACTTTGTTGTTTTTTAATAAGTTATTCATTGCATTTGTATAATATTATTAAATTTAAAATTGTTGCATTTATGTGAATAGACTGTGAAAATAGTCTATATGTCCATATTACGACTAATCTACCGTCCGTTACTTACCAATTCCGTCCATTATATTGTGATTTATATTTTATGTTTTTAATGTAGAATAAATATATTTTAAAGCATGTTTGTTGATACTTCAAAGATTTTTTTGTTTTATTACTACATTATTCCTGTATCACATGGGAGGGTGTATCAGACCAAGAGCCTTAAATTAGAAATTTCATCCAAAATCTGAGTTTGACACACTAATTCCTAAGCTATTAGTGGACATAAACAGATGTGTATGTTTATTTACTATTACAATAGAAATTCTTTGAGAATTCTGCTTGTATTTTTCACATTAGGGTAAAATTGGAAATTATGCTTGAAAAACAATAGATATTGCAAATTTTTAGATTTATAATATAATAATTCCATTTTCTCATTAGGTAGTAATTGTCTACAAATGTATAAAATATTGAAATACAAAATAGTGTTGATGAGGTTATATATATATATATATATATATATATATATATATATATATATATCAGACAATATTTTATACAAATAATGTTTTTACTTTCACTTACCTATATATGAAATATATAGTATAGGAAAGTATTGCGATCGTGAAAACTTTTGAATCTCTGTTTTCAACGGAAATACACGTTTTGAGGTCCCCTGAGTCCAAATAACCAAGTCACGAAAATGGTGTGTGTGTGTTAACAGTCTAGCTCAAAAACGAAAAGTCATAAGATAGGAAAATTGCATATTTAAGGTTTTTATATGCTAGGGATGTTACAGTAATATTTTCGTCAAAATCGACTGACCGGAAGTGGCACTTTATATCATGGGCTTAAACACATTTTTGCAATTTTCTCGGAAACGGCTCTAATGATTTTGATTAAATTCATTATATCAGTGTAAAATTAAGCAGTTTCAAATAAAATGTAGTTTTTATTCTGATTGATGTTCTCTAACAGGGCTTAAATGGCTAATTTTCAATATTAGCTTCCTCTAAAGTACCTGTAATTTTTTTTATTTTTAAACAATTGACTATTTCACATTAATCTATAATATAAAAGGTAGTTAAATATAAAATATGAAAGAATTTGATAATTAACTAAAGGAGAAATACAAAATCGCAAAGGAGAATAATTGTAATTGATCGCACCCGAAAATTATAATAGGCTTCCGTACATAACACGAGCTTAATATAATATGGACTCCGACAATATTATATAAATATACATACGTGGTTTTCATAAATGCTATTGTTGGTATTATTTAATATTTAATTGTATAGATTACACCGATATAAATATTGAAATTTGTATATATAAGGATACTTATACAAATAAAAATACACACAATGAAATATAAATAATTATAGAGTCTATAATTTTACTTTCACTTCTCCTTTGTCTGAAAATACTTATTTCTGCCAAGAAGAGGGTGGTAAGTGAAAGTTGTGTGATGCGTGCATCGCACCAGATTTTTTTTTTACACGATTGACCTACTTGAATTGAAGATTTACATTCCAGAAAATGGGGCCATTTACAGCCCTTCCACCTCTTCAGAGGAGCGTATGGTTCTCTCCTTAATCTGGGTTATATATAATGTATTATTCAAGTTTCAAATGTTAAATGATTAGAAAAGAGATATTGATATCATAATTTTATTTAATATTTTAAGATAATTTAATGGTTGTAATTAACAATATGTATATACTATTTTATATAAGCTGCAATAAGTTGCATTATGTGAGGTGGGAATTTAAATACTAAAAGTTTATGGATAATGCCCGTATGCCATACTGCATCAAATGCTTTTTCTATGTCTAGACGTGCTTCTTTTCATTAAATGCTTTTATAATATATTCGTTCAGTCTGGTTAGTTGGGCTACTCTCAAGTGATATTTTCTGAAACCTAATTGCTCATTGGATATTAGATTCAGTATTCTTTTTAAGAAGAAATTTATCAATAAGTTTTGATATTATGTTTAGAAAACATATGGGTCTATAGCTTCGAACATCTGAAGGGTCTTTGTTTGGTTTTGTGATGGTTATAATTTTCGTTGTTTTCCATGCTGTTGGAAAATATCTAAAGCGAAAGGTACAGTTATAAGTCTTCGTTAGAAATAGAATAGCCTTTTTGTTTAAGTTTTTAATTTCAATTGTGGGTATGGCGTCTGGACAGGGTGATTTTCTAGTTTTTAACTGTAAGATGGCTTGCTTGTTAGAACGAGATTAAAGGAAATGTGTTTGGGAAGAGAATACATATGTTAAAAAAATGTAAAAACATTTTATTTTAAATATTAAAACATTCACATAACTTTGTTTTTATTATTTACATAATCAGAAATACAGTGCAATATAATAATAATAATGATAATAATAAAAAGGAATACAGTGCAATATTATAATACAAAAAACAACTCATTTAAATGAAAAAAAAAACACTTTATAACAGCCAATAGCGGATCCAGCCGGGACTTCCCTCCCTGGAAATTGGAATAAAATTCCAAAAGCAGATATTTAAAGAAAAGAGAAATTTAGGGAAAATTCATCCTCATAGACGAATTTCCTAATGTAATATAAAAAAAAAAAATCGTGACCAGCTTTAGCGAATTCTGGCAGGGGAAGCGCCCTCCCTTAGATGGTTGGAAAAAAATTCCACTTCTAATAACTTATGGATGTATCGAATTCATCCTCCAGTTCCGCTGGTATTAAAGCTCTTACCTTTTTCCCCCACTTCTAATAAACATTGGGTTCTCATTTCTATCTTTCTAAATTTATTTTTGATCTCAGGACCATTTTAAGCTATTTTTCTTTCAATTGAAGTAGCTAAAGTTGTAAATAATATTTTTCACTGAGATATTTCTTATTTGCCAGTTTTCAACTCTTCAGCTCTCGTTATCCTTAATTTCCAACACAAGAGAATAAAATATGATCAAAATTCATGGAAAATGTTATGAAGTTTAAAAATGAACTGATCTCTAGGGAATATGTATTTATAATTTAATATCAAATGATTTATTCGTTAAGGACTACATCATATGAAAACATATACTGATGTTCAGACTTTTTTTAATTATCAACACTTCCATATGCATATTTGTACATTACCACCAAAAATAGATATAAAAGTGTGTTGCATTCAAAAGAAATGTCAAATCCCAAACCTTCACCGACTATGACATGCCAAGAAGGGTCACACTCTTTATCTAGCAGTTCTTTTATAAGGCTTGCTGCTAGCTGAAAACATTTCATTCAATAGATTATTAAACTTAATTTATCGTACATTTATGTATTACATTATGTAATATTAGGAAATCACTTCAGAAACAAATGAGGCTTTGTTAAACGCTTTTACACCACAAACACACAAAAAACCTATATTCTTCTACATACTCTATAATGAACAGGATTACTACCCTGGTTAACCTCACCCAAGGCAATCTGCTTTATGTATAACAGCTGAGCAGTGTTGTCAGATAAAATGTATTAACTTAACAGTTAAGGTGTTCATCCACTATTTGGAATTTATTCAACCCCACCTCTTAATTGAAGGTAATCTATTAACACCTTATTTCCATGCTCCTTGGCCAACTTTAAGGCAGTCCTTCCGTTCTTATTCTTATCATTGATTGGAGCTCCTCGGTCAATGAGAAGCTTCCCAACATCCATATGGCCTTCTTTAGATGCTTCCATTAGCGGTGTCATACCCGATTCTGACTTAGAAGATAGATCTGCTCCACGATCCAATAGTAAACTCACCACTCCATATTTCCCGTATGCTGCTGCGTAATGTAATGCAGTCTCTCCTTTCCGATTCGTTTCGCTTATAGCCGCCCCTCGGTCAGTGAGAAGCTTCACCACATCCAAATGGCCTTCTTTAGAAGCTTTCATTAGCGGTGTCATGCCCAATTCTGACTTAGATGATAGATCTGCTCCACGATTCAATAGTAAAGTCACCACTCTATATTTCCCGTATGCTGCTGCGTAATGTAATGCAGTCTCTCCTTTCCGATTTGTTTCGCTTATAGGCACCCCTCGGTCAATGAGAAGCTTCCCAACATCCATATGGCCTTCTTTAGATGCTTCCATTAGCGGTGTCATACCCGATTCTGACTTAGATGATAGATCTGCTCCACGATCCAATAGTAAACTCACCACTCCATATTTCCCGTATGCTGCTGCGTAATGTAATGCAGTCTCTCCTTTCCGATTCGTTTCGCTTATAGCCGCCCCTCGGTCAGTGAGAAGCTTCACCACATCCAAATGGCCTTCTTTAGAAGCTTCCATTAGCGGTGTCATGCCCAATTCTGACTTAGATGATAGATCTGCTCCACGATTCAATAGTAAAGTCACCACTCTATATTTCCCGTATGCTGCTGCGTAATGTAATGCAGTCTCTCCTTTCCGATTTGTTTCGCTTATAGGCACCCCTCGGTCAATGAGAAGCTTCCCAACATCCATATGGCCTTCTTTAGATGCTTCCATTAGCGGTGTCATACCCGATTCTGACTTAGATGATAGATCTGCTCCACGATCCAATAGTAAATTCACCACTCCATATTTCCCGCATGCTGCTGCGTAATGTAATGCAGTCTCTCCTTTCCGATTCATTTCGCTTATAGGGGCCCCTCGGTCAGTGAGAAGCTTCACCACATCCAAATGGCCTTCTTTAGAAGCTTCCATGAGCGGTGTCATGCCCAATTCTGACTTAGATGATAGATCTGCTCCACGATTCAATAGTAAAGTCACCACTCTATATTTCCCGTATGCTGCTGCGTAATGTAATGCAGTCTCTCCTTTCCGATTTGTTTCGCTTATAGGCGCCCCTCGGTCAGTGAGAAGCTTCACCACATCCAAATGGCCTTCTTTAGAAGCTTCCATGAGCGGTGTCATGCCCAATTCTGACTTAGATGATAGATCTGCTCCACGATTCAATAGTAAAGGGACCACTCTATATTTCCCGTATGCTGCTGCGTAATGTAATGCAGTCTCTCCTTTCCGATTTGTTTCGCTTATAGGCGCCCCTCGGTCAGTGAGAAGCTTCACCACATCCAAATGGCCTTCTTTAGATGCTTCCATTAACGGTGTCACGCCCAATTTTGATTTAGATGATAGATCCGCTCCACGTTCCAATAGTAAAATCACCACTTCATATTTCCCATATGCTGCTGCATAATGCAGAGAGGTGAATTTATCAGTGTCCTTTTCATTCACTTTTGCTCCAGTGTCCAACAACATTAATGCGCAGTCAACGCAACCTGCTTCAGAGGCGGAGTGTAGCGCTGTCCGACCTTTCTTATCCTTGAGTGTTAGATCTGCACCGCTGTTCAATAAAAACTTAACTAAAATATTCGTCTTTGATTTTGTAGCAGCCATCAGAGCAGTTTCACCTTGGTTATTCTGTATGTCGACTCCCGCACCATGTTTAACTAGAACTTTTAGAATATTCAGATATCCTTTGGCTGAAGCTATATTGATAGCGGTTTCTTCTTTTCCTGTAGTAATATTGACATCTGCCCCAATCTCTAGCAGTGTCTCAACAACTGATGGATCAGTAGTTATATGTATAGGAGCAAGACCATCCGCGTTCCTTATGTTTACTGGCATTCTTTTACCTTTCAGTACTTTGAGCATTTGTGTTGCATTATTGGAACGAACTATCAAGTGAACTAATGTGTCATTAATTTTGAATCTGAGTTCTGGCAGGGTCACACATTTTATAAATGCTTTCAACATATCAACATTCGATGACACAACTGCCTTATGCAGAAGAGTTTTTACTACTTCTGGTATCGAAGTGCTATTAGTACATCTTTCCAGTAGGATCTCCATCCCCTTGACATTTCCTGCTTTGACACTTAGCTGCAATGGAGTATCGCCCAGGTTGTTCCTAACATCGGGTTCAAGTCCTTCCTCAAGTAATGTCCGCAATGCTTCATTCTTGCCAGAAGTAGCCGCAATATGAAGGTAAGAGTTACCTCTGAGCAAACGCTTCTCAATTTTAGCTCCAGCCAATATCAGTGCCTTGATAGATGGAACACTATTAATTTTAATAGCTTCTTCCATAGGAGTCGCACCCACAGTGTTGAGAACGTCAAGATCTGCCTTCAGATACCCCAGTACAGCAATAGAAGACTTACTTCCACTCCTTACGGCCAAATGAACTAAGCTTTCCCCGGACTGAGTCGACCCATTGATATTTCCTCCTTCATTGGCTAGTGCAATAATTTCACAAGGGATGTTGCTAGCCACAGCATTTTCTAACTCGAGCGCCAAATCACCACTTTTTTTCTGAAAATAAATTTTACACTTTAAATGACTTTATAATTTATATCTTGTTAGTGTAAATATTAAATATTTAGTAACAAATATACAAAAAGCCTCTATAAAAGAAAAGTATTTAAAGATAGCCAAAGATAAAATCTTTAACATTTTATGTATATTTTTGAATATTTAATAGTTGACCGTTGCATTATAAAGGAAGGAGATGGTCCGGGGGGGGGGGGGGGGCGGTCATAAACAGGCTAAATATTGGTAAAACTATTTTATTGAAAGCCAACATTTCGACCCGACTTTGCAGGTCTTCTTCAGAGCTAGAACGGACAAGATACAAAAAGATACAGAATTGTGGCAGTTACTTAATATTTAGTGGCGGTTACTGAATACAAAGTGGAAAAAGGATGATCATACATTGATGTAGAGTGTAAATATAAATTTAGAATATAATAAAATAAAAGAGAGATCATACAAAGAGAAAATATTTAGGATAATGAACAATTATATGAATTAATCAATAAAAATTGAGAGTAGATAACAAATAAATAAAAATAATAGAATGTAATATATAAGTTATTTTTCTCTTCAAGTATATTTTTTATTTTTCACTTTGTATTAATTTTACTTATTAACCATGTCTCAATATTATCTAATATTCAAATGTAATTTTCTTACATTTGTACAACCAAATATAATCATAGTTATTAATTTTTTTCCCTCTATATACTTTTAAGTTAGTTCTGCAATGTATGTATGTAAATGAAGTTATTTGTATATTTATATTTTACTATTGGGTTTATTCACATTGTACTCTTATCTATTATTTTATATGTATATGTATATATTTATAATTTAATATTTCATAGATATAGTATTTTTTCATTGTATCCATCCATATGTTCATATTTTAGATACTGTAATTTCCTAGGTTTTTCCCCATTACCCAAACAAGTCAGCTTCCCCTACACCTGCCCTTACCCTTGGTTTTCCAGTTCTAAGTGAAACTCCTAGCTGAACACACTTGTAAGTCTCTAATTTTATTCTTCCATTTTATTTACTTATTTATATAATTATTGGTTTTCTTTTTTCTTTTCTTTCTCTACATTTCTTTATGTCTATTATTTCATATTATATCCTTTTTCCTTTTCTTTCAATTTCTCCCGTAGATCTGTAGAAGTATATTTACATTTGCATTTATTATATATTACACTACAACAATTGTTAGCATCTATTTATTTCAGTTTAGGATCTTGTTAGATAGATAGATAGATAGAAAGTAAACTTTATTCTGGGACGAGGTCCCTTATGAATAACAGGTATGAACAAAAAAATTAAACATACATCTGGCCAAAGATTACATTAATCAATATTAAAGAATATATACAGTATCTTCAGTGAAATTAAATTAAAATAAGTAAAAATAAAATAAAATTTTGAGAAAAAACGAAATTAAAAAAAAAAATTATTTAAATGAAAAGAGAAAAAAATAAGCATGGGTTGATTTTTAAAATTAAAAATCAATAAATTTTATCAACCATTCACCTCAGTCAAAATCTGTTTCACAATATTTATTTTATTGTATAACGTCATTTTGGGATGTGAGAAGGAATTGGTAGAGATGGTATTTAAATGAGGACAAGGAAGAGGCATGGCGGATTTCAGATGGTAAGAAATTCCAGAAGGCTGTGGATCGGAAAATAAAGGAATATTCAAACGTCTTAGTTCTATGGGAAGGGATATAAAGGTCGGAAACACGGGATCTTGTTTTCTGGGAGTGGACCACGGGTTTAAACTGTAGAAGACTGTAGATGTAAGAAGGGTGTCTGGTGTTGATTGTTTGGAATAGGAAAGATCCAAGGAAATATTGTCTGCGGAAAGAAGGGAAGAGCCATTTTAACTCGTCGTAAAGGTGGGACACATGAGATCGCCTTGATGTACCGAAGACAAATCTTAAGCACGTATTCATGAGTCGCTTCAATCTATCCTCGAGTACCATTGGGATGCCTTCGTACACCATACAGCCGAAGTCAAAGTGGAGGAAAATGAGAGAGGATACAAGGAGCCTGCGGATGGGTTGTGGGAGTAGGTGGCGGGAGCGATGAAATAGCTTAAGGGTACTTATTGACTTACGGGAGATGAGGGCGATATGGGGTTTCCAGGAGAGGTTTTCGTCTATGGTGATTCCTAGGTTTTTAACGGAGGAACTGAATGTGACAGGATGATCCTTGATGACTAAAGGAGGAGGTGTTACTTAGCTTACTTTGTTCATATTTTAATGTACTTACTGTTTATAATTTTAATAAGCTTATTCACATTGTTTATAAATTTTGTCTAAATATTATGTAACTGCCACAATTCTCTTATTGTATCTTGTCCGTTCTAGCACTGAAGAAGACCTGCAAAGTCGGGTTGAAACGTCGGCTTTCAATAAAATAGTTATACCACTGTTTAGCCTATTTATGACCGCCCCCCGGACCATCTCCTTCCTTTATATATATTTTTAATTTTTTTATTTATAAATGGAATTTTGTTTTGGTATTTTGCATTGATGGATATGTCACAAAATAAATAGCTATGTACTACATTCTTTAACTAGCACTATTCCAGAATTTAAAAACTAAAATGTACAAGTTCCTCCTCTAACCTTATGGCTCTTAGAAATGTAAATATTGGTTTGGCAAATAAGTCCTTTCGGTTTTTCAGAGTGAAATAAAACTCAATGCACTATAGACATACAATTTATTTTAATCTACAATATTTATTCTATTTATGAATGCCACCCCGGACTATCTCCTTCCTTATTTTCCTTTCTTATGTACCTATTGTGTAAATGAATACTATAGCACTAGTACCAATGCCCTTCAGTGTGGCAGACTGCATTAATACTCAATAAAATCATTATAAACAAAATATGTTTACCATGCAGGATCAGTTTATTTTTCTCATTATTTATATTGGTAACTAGATCACTTATATATAGAAGTCTATAATTTGTAACCAAGATTAAGAGAGCACTGGAAACAAAACAAAGGCTACTCTCTTTTGTTTCCTAAGGAGATGACTGATTGATATTTTAGCATGTGCATGTACTCTTACATCTTATTATATCTTGACTATCTTTGGATGTGGCATGCCATAATATTGTATATAAATAAGTATCTTTTTTTTTTGTTATTTGTATTATCTTTATTATCTTAAATATCTTTCTTTTTTTTTACTTTAATTGTATATAGTAATTATGTTTGAGTTCCCTCTTTTTCCTTGCATTTTATTTCTTTTTATTGTACATAGTATTAATCCTGTAAATATTTCTTTCTGTAAATAGATCTGTTAACCTTTTTGCTGCTTTATAAAAAAATATCCAACCTAACCCTTCTCACCTGAGCTAGCATGGTAGGATAAATGATTTATCATGGCCAAATCATGGGTAAGTAACTTATATTCTCTATAATTATCTCTTTAGAGATGAAAGGCTAGTAAAGCCAGGCGCCCAAAAAATAAAAATTCCTATGGAAAATTATATTTATTAAAAATTATTTTATTAACTTTTATTTATCCTTTTTTTTTCGTCATAAATTGTTGTATAGTAACAAAATCTACAGCATATCAGTTTTTACAGCAGATATACAGCTACAACGTACAGTTTAGTCCAAGAAGAATCGAACTCCTAAGCGATAGAAGATAAAGAATAACCCAGGAAAAAGAAAAAAAATGTCTTTTAAAAGTAAAATAAACATCTTAAACATAGGTATATGTTTACACAATGTTTATATAATTACACTTTTTTTTTTTTCATAGACCCTTTTTTATATATTTTTGTCTTGAATCCTTGGATTTTCATTCTCTTCGTAATAGTCCTTTCTTATGTACATATTGTGTGAATGAACACTATATCCCTAATACCAATTCCCTTCAGTGTGGCAGACTGCATTTATACTCAATAAAATCATTATTAACAAAATATTTTTGCCATGCAGGGTCAGTTTATTTTTCTCATTATTTATATTGGTAACTAGATCACTTATATATAGAAGTCTATAATTGTAGTATAGTAACTAAATCTACAACAGATCAGTTTTGTAAGTAAAGTTTAGTCCAGAAATAATCGAATGCCTAAGCGATAGAAGATAAAGAATAACCCAGGAAAAAGAAAAAAGAAAGTCTTTTAAAAGTAAAATAAACATCGTAAACATAGGCTTTACACAATATTTATATAATTACACATTTTCTTTTTTTTTTTTCATAGCCCCTTTTTTATTTATTTTTGTCTTGAATCCTTGGATTTACATTGTCTTCATAATAGTCCTTTTACTGCTAAAAAGCATTGTAACGTTTATTTTGATTTTTTGTCGTTTCTGAGTATTTTTTCTACATCTGTAATATAATCGGTGATGGAGCTCACCTCAGGCTTGAGTTGATCTTATCCTCTAGAGCTTACAACTAAATTAATAAAACACCTTCCTTATGTGAGTTGTTGCCAACTTTTTGGAATTTTGGCTGGTAATAAGTTGTTGAAAAGAGGGTTTGAAAATTGTTAAGACTTTTCAAAAAATTATATTTTTCGTTTTGTGAGAAATTATTTATTCTGTTGATAAATTTAGTGCTGCTTGTATATCCAATGTTTTAATTTTCTGCATCGTGATTCCTCTTACTATTTTTCTAATTATTCCATTTTGGAAATATTGTAATCTTTTACCAGTTGTTTTGCTGACATGATCAAACAGAACCCGTTTAATTATACATTTTTTTTTTTTCCTACCCCTCAGGAATTTCTTGATTACAAAATACAATATATATATATATAAATGTTATATATACATAAATTTTCAATTTCCTTTTATTGCCCAAGGGCATTTTAAGGTAAGAGGGCTATAATTTAATATAATAGGTTTAATTATACATATTACAACGTTATTTTATACTACGAGTTTAAACCCCGTTCACGGGATTAAATAAAAAAAAAATATTAATAATAAATAAATAAGAGCAGTCCCTAGTCGATTGCTTAGACCACTATGGCGTGGGTTCGATTCTGGTATGGGGACGGTAACGTCCCCACCCTAAGATTCATAGGAAGGTGACAGCGACCCCTGTGTCAAATAACATAGCTCCTTTGGTCCTCCAGATTTGGGGGTTGGGCACAGGGCTAATAACCCTATCTCGTAAAAAAAACAACAGGATAGAGACGTATGCAAAAGGTTGTCAACCATCCTGATGAAGAGGGAGTGATTGTGATCACGTCCGGTTATTATAAACCAGATACTCCCTGGATATCATCTATATAAGAAGAGAACTTTATTCTCTTCTTATATAACTTATACACTTACACCTTATCACCTAGAAGAGCCCCAAAGCTACGAGAAGACTAATGACGGAAGTCAAAAGAGTCAAGAGGCGATGAATGAATATATATATATATAAAATAAAATATAATTACAATGAGCCAGGAGAACAACAAGCATGTCACTCTTCCTAAAAGCCAATGGAGGTTAAGCGAGGGCGCCTTAGTCACAGATTGAATCATATTAATATAGTGTTCAAATGTTCTTTTAAAAGTAAGCATTTATAATTGGTAAATTTTTGACTGTAGTGAATAATGGAGAGAAGAATAGTTGGGGTGATCAGTCAAATAAGCATGCAAAAATAAATTATACTATTTATTTTGACATTAACCGACGTTTCGACCTGAAGTTCAGGTCATCATCTAAGAAAAGAACCAGATAACAAGGTATGAGAAAAATAAGTAGTGTAGGTAAAAAAAATTAAAGTAAAATTCAGTTGTTATAATAATGATAATAGTAAGAACAAAGAGATAAATGATAATAAGCGGTACAAAGTGTGGAATGATGAAGTAAACATAATGAAAATTGAATGTTGTAATAGAAAAATATAATAGAAAATTGAGATGTTGTAAAAGTCTATCAAGATGTATAGACAACGTATAATATAATACAAAGTTAAAACAGAGCAGAGGGATGAAAGGAAGGAGGAAGGAAACTGAGAAGGCTGAAATAAGAAAGAGAATAAGAAATAAAAATAAAAATAAAGAGAAGACCCACCTGATTACGGAGATGTAAATCTAAGCAATGAGGGTGTTAGTCAGGGTGGGGGTGGAGAGAAGGGATGTATAGTGGCGTCATCTCCAACGGTTATCTGACGAAGTTTGAACTAAAGTACCGGAAGCGAAAATAAGAACGAGAGATATATTCATAAATATAATGGATAATTAAACGAAAGTTGATAGAAAGAGGCAATAAAATAGTTTAATATAAAATAAATTTATAATAAATAAATTATAAATAAAATTATAAATAAATAAAAAAATTTATAAATAAATAATAAATTATAAATAATAAATAGTATCATTTATTTTTGCCTTCTTATTTGACTCATCACCCCAACTATTCTTCTCTCCAGTAAGCATTATATTTTAAAAGTAAATATCAAAGGCAAATTGAGGAAAACTTACTTTCGATTGCAGAGTAATCCCATAGCTATCAGCGAGGGAAGAGAAAACTCTTAGGACTTTTGAGTTCAGGACCAGTGATCCATCAGCTACCAATAAATCTAGGCGAACCATCGCCAGTTCCATGTCTTTGTCTGGGAACTCGAAGTCCTCCCTCAGCCAGAGCGCGATGTGTCTCGACCGCAATTGCTCTATGCGATTAGAGCATTCGGCCAGGATTGTGCAAGATTCCCTATCTTGAGTTAATAGACAGTTGAGGAGAGACAAGAGAAGCGCCTGAAGACTTGTGAGCTCTATTACATGGGGGCCGATCAGGTCGTAACGGTACACTCTTGCAGCGTAGTCCAACCCTTCTTGAAGCATCGGATTGGTAACCTCTGGGCAGTAACTGCTGACCAATGTTTTCGCTTCATAGGCGACCACAGACGTTTCCCCACACTAAAAAAAAAAATTACATTAATATTATCATTATGCCTGTCGACCATTTTAAGACCTTATTGGCAACATCATTTGAAATATGAACTGCATGAGCAGTCCTAACCCATATTGCTGTTCGCCCCATAACCAAGTTTATGGGTTTCAGTCAGAGTCTATCACTTTTCAGTGGTTAGAAAAAAAATGTGGTGTGTTCACTCACACTACTTTCCTACCTATTTCAGAAAAGTTTTTATATCTTTACCTATGTCTATCAAGAAACAAAAAAAAAATTGAATTACATTTATTTTCCTGAAAATTGATCAAAGAAAAGATTTGAGTACGATTTATTAGATAAACTAAAGCAATGTAAAACGGCTTAAGGTAGGTCAGTGTACAAAATTCAATGCCCTCTAATATTGCTGATCAAAAACTTTTTGCCATAGCCTAATTTTGTCAAACAATAATTTCTGTTAAAAGTAGAGTATATATTGAAGCTTGCGTGATGCGGGCAACAGATTCTCTTACTTTCACTAAGTCTTATTTTCTCTCTCATTCACCCCTTTCTGACACCAGGATAGGAACCCGTGAATAGCTGTAACTTCGTTAATAGTTGTCCGAAATGAAAGATTTTTACTTAGTTTTGTACAACACACAACTTTCACTTACCGCTCTACTTTGAATAGAAATTATTTTCTGGCAATGTTGAGCTATTATAAAAGTTTTGAAGTGCATTTTAAACAGAGAGAATGCATAAAGCTTACAGATAACAAATTATTAAGACCATTAAATTTACAAAAGTCTATTTATTATATCGACGGAAGGCAATAAAAATCTAGTTTTATAAACCACACAATTTCAGTCTCTGACCCTTCCAGATGACAGAATACCTAACTCCAATTTCAAAATTTTAGAGTAATGCCGTTTTACTGATATTTCTAGTTAAAAAAGTTGTATCTATACATACAGTGAGTAAGTTTATTCCAGAGTTGGTGATTGCAATGTTGAAATATAGAACTGTGAATAAAGGTATAAATTTTGCCACTAGAAACATCACTAAAATTGATAATAAATTATGTTGAAATTGGAGTTAGTCATTCTGTCATCCAAAAGGCTCATATATGGCAAGAGAGATTTCAAAGTATATCTCAATATTTAACCTATAAATTATTATGGATTGTAGGATTATTAGTTATTAAACTGTTATTTTCCATTGTAAAGTTTACTAAAATGATATTACGATATTTTCATTGCCTGGCATGGATAGGTCATCAGTTGTCACACTGATTGTAAGTGGAAAATGTTGGGATTTCACAAAGGAAAAATTCATCAAATTATTCACTAATTTCCTAAAAGGTTACTTGATGATTTTTTGGAATGAACGGCCAATAGATACCTAATTATTTAAATATAATATCATATCTAGAGTTATTAAACTACAGCAAATGTATTTAAGGTTATAAACATATCTACGAAATATTTTTATATTTCAATTCTTCTTTCACTCAAGTACAATGATATAGTATTTTTAACAATGTCATTCCTTGTCTTAATTCGATGGATTTTAAATGTTTTTTTCTCAAACTAAAAAAAATTTAAAGATTACATTTAGTAAGAAAATTTCATTTAATTATCTTGGAAACATGTGATTTACTTTAAATAATGTTACTTTTCAGATATTATTATTTATATTTTTTTGTCACTCTCCCTTACCTTCTAAAACTTTATTTATTTGATATTATTTTTTCTGAAATTCTATACTTTCCAACGATATATTATTTGTATACCTTCTGAATGTTATTTCTGGAGATTCATATTCAACCTATATAAGCATTTTTCTTTTTTTCTCCAGTTGCCAATTATCATATTCTTTCAAACTTTATGTTTAGCCATTTTTATAGTTATTGTCAATAAAAGAAAGTTCTTCATTTATCCTAAGAGAGATACTTATTTTATAGGTATATAAGTAAGAATATTTTTTTTCTTTCACAGTGATATATTCTTCCATTTTTTTTCACTCAATTATATCAATACATATAACGTTTCGAGATCCACTTTTATCCCATCTTCAGTCTAGAAATTACAACATATCGCTATTAAAAATTATATATGAACAATAAAGCATTTATCAATATAAATAAAAACAACATATAATTTAATTTTTATTTTATTTTGCCAATCTTACCAGTATCTTAATTCTCCATAAGACTTGTCATGTTAATAAAATGTTTTATTTTTTGTCTTATTGCTAAAAATGTAGTAATTTAAAAATTATTATTTATTTAATTATTACTATTATTATATGTATTTTATTACTTTCAATGTAGAATATATTACCTGGAAATCTTATTTAAGTCTCCTTTAGGAAGAGTCTAGTCAGATACCGAAAATTATACTTTAAGCAAGCGGTCAAACTCCAATTCTTATGTTTATTTTTATATATCTAATTTATTTATAAGATAAGCATAGTGACTCCCTATTTTGGCCGCATCGGTTTTAAAATTAATAGCTGTTTTATTGCGTTTAATGATGAATATTGACTCTATTATGTTTTCTCTGTAAGCTGAGTGTTTCTTTATATAAAATTTGTGATTTTACTAAGTTGAAATAATGTCTATTTGTAATACTATGATGAGATAAGGCTGTTTTGTTATCAGTTTTACTATTTTTTGTATCATTGAGATGCTGATTAATCCTTTTTTCTATATTTTGTCTAGTTTCACCAATGTATGTCGCTTCAATTTTAGCAATAAGACAAAAAATAAAACATTTTATTAACATGACAAGTCTTATGGAGAATTAAGATGATGCAGGGATACTGGTAAGATTGGCAAAATAAAAAACGTCTATTCCCGTTGAAAATGCAGATTTGATTTTATAAAATCGATGATTTTATGAAAAACGAAACAGCGTTGTTCAACCGCTATAAGTGGTGTTAACAAAGACAAAACTTTATATATGTTTAAAATAAATTTTCCCTCATTTAATATGAAGCAATCATTAATTAGAAAAAAAACTTAAATTTTATACTTCTCCACTGATAATGTAACCATTATTTATTTAAACTTTTTTGTAACTCTTGAGATTTGATTTCGTTTCTTTAAATATTTTTCTTTACGCCCTGTACAAATACGTGAAAGAATATTTTGAGTATGAACTTACCCTTGAAGTTGGGATGAATATCGCCAGTAGCAGTACTCTGAACTCCGTCATGGCAGAATTTATTCGTGAATATTTTTGTCTGAAACAATTTATTAAAAGATAATTGATGATAACTGAAAAAGTATAAAAACATCTGAGTGAAGCATATCTCGAATTTCTTTTATTTTTTTGTGGTGGATCCAAGATTTTCATTCAAATCGTATAATGCAAGCTGTTATGAAATTGTTTCATTACTAGTAGGCCCGTGCGAAAAATTCGCACAGCGTATTGTTGTCATCAAATGCCAAATTAATAAGAAAAGAAAATAAGGCAATATATCAATAGATAAAGAAATAAAATGTTGCTTTATCGATAAATATAATCGAATAAGAAAACAAAAATTAATTTAAATATTTTTTGTTTGGAACCAACATGTTTAAAAATTTAAGTAAGCTGTATCTTTGCTAAAAATTGTCCGATTTCGATGATTTTTTTTCCCTTTTGTAGGGAATTAAGTAATCTTTTATATAATCATGGGCACAACCAAGGGGAAAATGTGTATTTTTTTAGTTATTCGCAAATAAAGTTTGTTTTCTTTCATAACTGATTTGCCTGAATTTTCGAACTGATCGGACTATTTTGTCCGCCTGAAGGAGAAGGAAGCCTTCGAAATTGGTTGCTCAATCTTGATTTTAATTTTCTCACTTTAATTTAATTTACGCTCAATCAAACTTTTAGATTTGACGCGTTTAAAAACAATAAATATATAAAAACTCCTCAAAGGTTTTTGTTTTATATCTCTAGTTCTATAATATTTACAGGGGTCTGTTTAGTGTCATTTCGTGTAGTTATGTATCAGTATCGAAGCCAAACAAAATGTTTGTATCGGCTTTATTTATTTTAGAAAAAAAAAAACAAAAGTGGAGAATACGATTCGCTAACCCCCGTGAAATTCTGAATCCAACGGTACCCCATTTATGGTATTTGAGTATGACAGGAGCTTATATTTGGTACAAAACCGATTTCGAGCCTTACTGTAATAATATACAGAGGGATATTTTTTTTCAAAACTAATTTATCAAAAGGCTCTTCAATATCACTTACAAGAAAAATATTTTGAAATAACTGATCAGGGATCAACCCCTGAAACAAACAAAAAAAAAAAAAAAAAATGAAAAAGGCAGTTTTATATAATTCTGACTTCACCACCATTTCATTGGCCTCCATTTTTATATAAAGTTTTCCTGCTCAGTTAATCTCAGTCATTGGTAAAGTGTGCACATTCTAATTTATTTTTTCACCAGAAATTATAACAGAAAAAAAAATGAGGAATATGGAGAGGAAAAAGAGGAGGTCAAGAAATTTCAGACACCAAGTGAGTCCAAATTAACCATACAATTTTAGTCTGAAGCAAAATCACTTCCAACATGGCAATGCCATACTACAAAATGGTATTTTCACTATCAGCAATATTTACTTCATCTTTCAAGATCCACAAAATTGTACAGGTGCACAAATTTTATTTCTGTTCTTTTTATTCATTACATACAATACGAGCTGATGTACCGTTAAAATTTGAGAATCTGTTTTTTGAGATGGATTTTATATTATGGGGGGGGGGGGAGAGGGTCCAAATTCAATTTCATAAAATTGGGTCGGGAGGGAGGAGGGGGGTTGTTTTGAAATTTTTATGGCGGGGCTTATGGAAGTCAAGGGTTCGCAATAGTCATAACAAAAACTTTGTTATTCGGATATTTTCTTAGGTACCACACAACTTAATTATCAAATTAATTATCAGATTTTATATTTTTTATATCAAAGATCTATGTGAAATGGTTAATTATTTAAAAAAAATAAATAAAGGTACTTTAGAGGAAGCCAATATTGAAAATTAGCCATTTAAGCCCTGATAGAGAACATCAATGAGAATAAAATCTACATTATATTAAAAACTGCTTAATAATACACTGATATACTGAGTTTAATCAAAATCGTTAGAGCCGTTTTTGAGAAAATCGTAAAAATGTCCTAAATCGATTATATAAAGTACCACTTCCGATTTGCCGATTTTGACGAAAATGTTGTAACATCGAAAGCTTATAAAAACATGAAATATGCAATTTTACTTTCATATGATTTTTCGTTTCTAGGTAGACTGATAACATACAAACACACAGATCATTTTGCAGGCCTTGGTTATTTGGACTCATGAGACCTCAAAACATGTATTTCCTTTTAAAAATCAGACTCGAAAATTTTCAAGATCGCAATACATACCCTTACTATTTATCGCATATATAGGTAAGTAAAAGTAATAATAAATACACTAATAAATGAATGTTACTCACCAATAGAACACTCGCTGGCGAATGATCTTCCTATTTAGTCTCTACAATTATTTCTCATTATTTATAACACCCAGCCAACGGAAAACCCATAGATAAATAGTTACGTAATCCTTCGAAATTCCCAATATTGAATAACAAAAATAATATCATCGTATTTCGCACTAGCGGATCCAGGATTTAATTTTGGGGGGGCTTCAGCCCGAAAGATTTTTTTTTCTCATATATATGACGATAATTAATTTGAAAAAAAAGAAGAAAGAAATGAACTACCTATATGAAATGTTGTTTAAGTGATTCTTGAAGTCATATTAAATGTAATTACACCAACAAGAATACTTTAAGAGATAGTTTTTAATATTTTTTTCTATAAAACATAGTTATATTTTACCGTTTTGGGGGGGCTTCAGCCCGAAAGCCCCCCCCCCCCCGAAAATCCGCCTGTGGTATTTCGCAATTAATCGATTCTCAATAACTAGCGTTATTTTGAAAAAAAAAAAAATTAAAAACCGAAATCCTCGAGCAGCACAAACACACCTGTAAAAAAAACATTTTAATTATTATTTTGAAATACAGTATCTAAAATATAAAGTATTTTGTGTTTTTATAATACAGTGTGTTTTAATTATAAAGTATTTAAATTATTTTCAAAATAAGTATTTCGAATAAAAAAATACCAAAAGTATCAAGCACTAGCGGATCTTTTTTTCAAATATATAACGATAATTAATTTGAAAAAAATAAATAAAGAAATTAACCACCATTAAACTACCACCTGTATCTTTGCTAAAAATTGTCCGATTTCGATAATTTTTTTTTTCCTTTTGTATGGAATTTAGTAATCTTTTATATAATCATGGGCATAACCAAGGGAAAAGTGTGTAATTTTTCAGTTATACGCAAATAAAGCTTATTTTCTTTCATAACTTGTTTGCCTGAATTTTCTGGGTGATTGGACTATTTTGCCAGCCTGAAGGAGAAGAAAGCCTTCTAAATTGGTGGCTCAATCTTGAGATTTGGTGAAAAATTAACGATGATATGGCTTGCCGATCAAAAACACCATCGATAAATAATATAAACTCCTCTCTCGATCATAGAGACCTCAAGTCGACGAAATGAGACATGTATTCAATGACAGTACTACAATTAATGTAAGGTTGTGTGGATGCGAACGCTTTGCCTTGCGTTATCTCGAAAACAGTACATTTTTGGGCTTAAAAACGCAGGATCCGATAGTTCTGGGGGAACTATCAGGGTCTTGCTGTACGCATCAAAATCTTCAAGATCCAATTTGTCCCGTATCGATCTACAGACCTACCACCGTTCCAGTATTGAAGCCTAGCAAAATGTTTGTATCGACTTTATTTATTTTAGAAAGAAAAACAAAAGTGGAGAATACGATTCGCTAACCCCCCGTGAAATTCTGAATCCAACGGTACCCCATTCGTGGTATTTGAGCATGACAGGAGCTTATATTTGGTACAAAACCGATTTCGAGCCTTACTGTAATAATGTATGTGGGGACGGGGATGTTACATTACATATTAGAGAAATGCTGTAGAATGGGTAAACTTAGATGTTTTATTGACATAAACATAGTAAAGTCGGACCAAATTAATAAAATTAACTTGACAATATATTAGAGGCATTGTCAAGGAAGATAGTGATAGACCTCCACCTTGGAATGGAGGAGTTGTAGAGTAAAGACAATCTATAAAAAGTCACCAATTATTTACATTAAAAAATATCTTTATATCTTTACATATGTTCATGAAGAAACAAAAAAGAATTGAACTAGATTTATTTTCCTGAAAATTTATCAAACATAAGATTTGAGTACGATTTATTTGATAGACTAAAGCAATGTAAACAGGCTTAAGGTAGATCAGTGTAAAAATTTCAATACCCTCTTATATTGCTGATCAAAAACTTTTTGCCATAGCTTAGTATTGTTAAACAATAATTTCTGCTAAAAGTAGAGGAAATGGTGAAGATTGTGTGATGCGGGCAACAGATTTTCATTAGTCATCTTTATTCTCTCATTCACCCCTTTCTGATACCAGGATATGAAACCGAAATCTTACATTGGAAATTGAATAGCTGTAACTTCGTTGAAAGAACAATGATTAGAACATTATAGGAAAGTTTCATCAAAATCTTTAGAGCCGTTTTCGCACTATAGAAAAACATGTTTTTCATTTATTGCGCATGGAGCACCGAATTTCTGTCACAGGCATCAGTAGTCAAAACCCTACAAAATAAAAAAAAAAGGAGCAACAAAATCGGTTCAGTAGTTCCCAATAAATATTGGCACAGAAAGACAGACAGACAGACCAAAGGCTAAAAATGTGTTTTTCGGACTCAGGAGGCTCTGAAACGTATAGATCCATCGAAAACCGTATGTCGGAAATTTGACCTGATTGCAATACTTTCCTTACCTAATATAGTAAGAAAGTAAAAAATGATTGTTCACTCACATGACTTTTCTACCGATTTTAAACAATATTTTTCCAATTTTGAATATGTTGGTTAAAAATAACACAATTGAATTAGACTAATTTTCCCAATAATCTAACAGAGAAATCATTAGAGTAAAATTTCTTTGATCAACTGAAGCAATGTAAACGGGCAAGTGAACAATTGTTAAAATCAGTGAATAAAATTCAATGCACTGTAACGTTGCTAAAAGTGGTCTAGTTTAGACAATTTTTTAATAGCTTTGTCAGAAATTTAATAACCTTTTAACAAATGTTGCTACTAGACTATAGAGATTTTACTGACATTTTTCAGAATGGGAAAACCTAACTAAACCCCGAATACACCAATAATTAATTATTAATAATTAAATTTTCTTCAAGAATATATATTATTTTACTAGTTTATCTCCAATAGTTCAAAAGTTAGCAAATCATATACAGTAAAAAATAT